AACAGTATTAGGTGGTGTGTGGCCCTAGAATTAATAACCCAATTGGAGTCATAGGGATCACACACGGACATAGCAACAAAGGGTGTGGCAACAACATATGCAGAGTAGGCAAAATTTCCGTGTTAGTGACAAACGTGAACAGAGTGCCCATGTTTTTGTCGCATATCTAACAAGCACCCTAAGGGAGAACACTTGTTGGAGTAAGTAGCAAGGGAGGTTGAAATGAGGGATGAGGTGGTTGTCGAGTGGATGACTGAGCACCCTAAGGAGAGAATTGAGTACCATGATTGTGAGATCGTGAGTTGCATTTATTAGAAGAAGAGCCAAAGGACCTGGATGATTGTGATGAGTTGTGAGCAATAGCCATTGCTCACAACTCGAGTGGATAAACCCGAGTGCTTTTTTTGAAGTTGTTCTTCCTGAACCAGGAGATCATACAAGTCATCAAAAGTGGTAGAGGGTTGGAGATGCATAGAGGTGATGAATCCTTGATACTTAGGACCTAAGTCATCCATAACATACTCAATCAAGTTGGAACATGGGATCAGAAAGCTAGCTACAGCAAGAGAATTAGATATGGACTTGGCTTTAATAAGGTAATCAATCACTGTTTGATCAGTAGTCTTGCAGAGAGTACTCAACTTGTCACGAATGGATCGAAGATGAATGTTGGAGAGCGGATTTAGTCATCAATCTAGAAGAGACCATGTTTCGGTAGTGGTGGTGCATGGTAGTAACAAGGACTGGATAATGGAAGGTGAAATAGTGGACTTGACCCAAGTCAAGACCAAGCAATCAGCTCTCAACCAATGAGAGTAACTGGGGTTGGTAGTGCCATCCGAAAGAAAAGGTGCTAGAGGATGGGCATCGCCTGTGATCAAAGAATGAAGGTCGTAAATGGCAAGGACGTCAAGGAACTAAGACTTCCAGGTGTGATATGTGTCGCGTCCCATGAGGGAAGAGAAGTAGTTGCCGATGTTGACAAAGGTGGGCAAAGATGGTAGTGATTGCATCAGCAGTGAGGGATAAGATCCAATTGCTGAAGCAAACATCACTTGAGATGAGACAAGCAGTGATGGGAAGTGGTAACCGACGACGAAAGAGATAGCTAGTAGAAGATGGACTAGCATTATAAATGAGGAGAAGCTCGATGGTGGGAAAAGGAATCTACCCATAGATGAGCATGACAACGAGATCGTCGATTGGATGACCGACGACGCAGTCTGAGCAGGAAGAAGAACATCGGAGTCAGAGATTGGGGTGGTCAGGGCGGTCACGACAATAGTAGGCAAAGACGAAGAAGCCATGGGAGATCTCAGGGGTGCAGGTGTCACTTTTCAAAGTTTGAGTGGCAGTAGATGTCACTTTTCAAAGTTTGGGGTGGGAGATACCTTCTTAAGAATCTGGGGGGTTAAGGGAAAAAGTCAGACGAAAAAAGTGACTGGCTGACAATGAAGCAGATTGATGCTTGGTGAGGACAAATCAATGCTCGATTGGGCAAAGAAGAGACGAGTAGATGATGGATTGCACGGCAGGTAGTCGACAAAGCAAATCGAGGACGAAGCGGCAGTAGTGGCTCGTGATCTTCGGCGGCAGGAGAGTGTCGCAATCAGAGAGAGAGGAAACGATGGTTGCACTGCAGGTCGATGACGCAGCAGATCAGTGACGAAGCGATAGGGTGGCTCGCGATTTGCGATGGAAAATAAATATACACATAATAATGAAATATATATTATAGTATCATATAATATATTATATGATCATATAATATATATTTTAATAATGAAATATATATTATAGAATCGCATAATATATTATATGATTCTATAATATATAATAATATATTCTAGGATTATATAATAAATCTAGAATATACTATTCCTTGAATAAAAAATTAAACTCTCTTAATGGCTCTTTGGAGGAACAGAAGATGGCGGTAGAAGAAATCTATCCTCATGGGATCCTTCAGGGCTTGGTCAAGCGGTAACGTGGCATTATTAATCTCATCAACCCCTGGAAAAGATACAAGGGGAGAAGCAAAACGGAGTTCATTAATCGTCAAACAGAGTTACGAAAATATTATTTATGGCATCGGTAATTAAGTCAAGGAAGTATTAGAAGAATTTCCCACCATTTTCAGTGATATAAATAGTCGGATTGTTATATTTTTCCTTGACGTAAACAAGAAGATCCCGCAACCCCCTTGGATAGACGTGGACCTGTAAAAAAAATACGAATATTATTAATTCAACACTGATATTTTAATATATTTCAAGTCATAAGTAAATAGAACCTTTGGACGGATAAGGATGCCATTGCGTTGGACTGAAAAAGAAAAACAAAACAAAAATGAATGTTAATGTTATCAAAATGTATGTGAGTCAACAATCTTCGTTTCTTGATACTTACAGGTCGAGTTAGCAATTGAATCCGTCAAAAATCTAATCTTGACCGGATCGCAACAGGAAGATTAGCTGCATACATTGCAGTGTAGTAATTTAAACCAATAAAATCGAAAGATCCTTTGATCATCATTGATTGCTTGGTGGTGAAGTTTGGGAGTCTTTGTCCTAAAAGACTCCCGCATAATGAATGGATAATTACCGTAGACCAATGGGTCCATACTCCTGCATGTTAAAACTAAATTAGAGAATTAATCTCCATCATACATAAATTAACTATTCAATCCATTTATAACCATTTTGTAAATTAATGTAAAGTTTAATTTGACAAATTTACCAACCATCCAAGCATGAAATCAATGACTCTTTCGGCTGCCTCAACATCAGGTTTCATTTTGGAGTAAGGTACCGTCCAAAAAGTCACCAATGTTATCCCAATCTTTCCCTTTTGAGTGGCCTAATTGAGATCATTATAATAAGTTTTAATAAATGGTTTATATATGTATATTTGTTATTACCATTTACCAGAAGAAGCTGGTATTTATCTCACCTGGTAGTTTTGCTTGTATAGTTTGACTGATGCGGAATGAGAAAGTAGCAAATGGTGGCCAACAATATAAGGCTCAGAGGCGGAGTTTCCGGCCTTGCAAGCTCCATTTACCCATTTTGAACATCGGCCTGGTGCATTCTTTCCCAAGTCATAACTAGTAGCACTGAATGTCCATGGCTCATTTATAGTGATCCAATGTTTCACCCGATCACCAAATTCTTTGAAGCAAACTTCTGAAAAGTCTCGAAAATCGTCCCCGTAATGTATATGATCAAAAGGGTCTGCGTATGATAACTCTATAGCTAGAACTTTTAATTTTATATTGCAACGATTTTCAACTTACACAATGCGAGGGCTTAAAAAGCCACCATACTCATCTTCCAGGGCCTGCGGGACATCCCATTGAAAGATTGTCACAGAGGGTTGCAGACCTGCAAATAATCATAAGTCACAAATATTTTTTTCCTGAACTTAATCAAGTATGATTTAATTAATTAATTCTTATTAGTGTAATTATAACAAAAGTAATTTATCTAGCTTAGATAACATGCATGTAGTTATCATATGATTAACTTGTTGACTATTAAACTTGATTTGGGCTTAAGATTATTTGGATTTATCACTTAGATTGTTAACTTAATATTTTTCCATGAGTCTAATGTAAAGCCCATATTTGACTCATGTATTTAACCCAACCAATATGCCCGGTAATCTTTGTAAAAATATTTCATTTATTAAAGAATTGTTAAATAGTTATTAATCGTGGAAGGTAGTAGATGATATTTATTAGCGTAGGTGGTAGGTGGGAGTTGGAGTGTAGACGGCTCTTTGAGCACTGTAAAAGAGGGCGATTTCTAGCCATTTTGTACAAACCAAATTTGAGAAGTAATTTGGTCAATTACTTCTCAAATTCTCTTAGTCTTTGAGCTAAAAGCTATTCTTCCAACATAATTGTAGGTTATATATATATATATTAGTAAAAAGGCGTAAATTATGATCACCATTTGATAGTAGTTCGTTGATGAGATTGTTGTAAAACTTCACGCCTTCCTTGTTCACTCCCCCGCTCAACTTCCCACCTGATTATAAGAAAAGAACAAAGATATATTGTGGTATATATTGAGATCATTCACATTTATGAAGTTTCTAAAACACATTATGCGAATAATGAAGAGCAATGATCTCACGGGGTAGTAATCTAGACCAAGAAATGGAGAATCTGAAAGCATCTGTGTTCATTTCCTTCATAATCTTCACATCTTCCTGCATTTTATAATCAACCAGTCTCAGTATTATTCAAACAAAAATCTCAGAAATAAAACGGAACAAACTTCTCTAAACCTTGTAACAGTGGTAAAAATCAACTGCAACATCTCCATTGCTGCGATCCGCTATTCTTTCTACAATAAACACACACACACGCGCAAAGAAAAATATATATCAAGACATGCATTGCATAGAATTAATGGAGAGTGAATGTTAATTAGCTGAACGATTGAAGGTATTAAGGGCCTTTTTAGTGGCTATCATGTAATTGGTTTGAGTTAATAAGGTGATAAGAAGCAGGAGGCATTGTAGAAGAGAGACTTGTAGAACCATGTTTGATTATGATTTCAACTACTGCGCTGCTGCTCCACTATATGTCCCAAATTTTGAGTCTATGGTGGATGATCCACTTATCCATGTGACTTACATTATTCTTCCAGCTCCCCACTATCCTAATAAATTTTCTGTTTACCGCCCCATTATCGATGATTCAAGCACTATCTCGATTATTTCCCTGCACTATTATATATAAATATATCCACTTTCTCTATCATTATTATTGTAAGCTTTAGTGTTTGACCTATATAAGGACTTCGGCCACATTTGTGTATAGATATATGTAATATGAAGAAAACACATGTATGAGATGAAATTGATACACGAATAAAAGATGAGTTAGGTTTAAATACCACTGAAAAAGATTAATATGTTATACAATGAGCAATATGCATTAATTTCTTAAATGACCGAGAAACCTGATAAGCAGCTGAACCAGCATCCCACAGAAATTCCGGTGGAAAACTGCTTGGATTTAACGATTTTACTCCACTTGCAATTGCCACAAACAATGCAAGCAGTTGCAGGACAAGGAAGGATCTCTCAATTGCCATTACTGTGTTTGTGGCATACAAGAGCAAAGAGTACCCCTTAAACTGTCCTCTGTATAACAATTACACGTATATATATATATATATACAAGAAACCATAATGTAACACTAAGAAACTAATTTCCCATTACTGTGTTTTTGGCGTACAAGAACTTCATCAGTTACTGTTCTGAATTGAATACAGTCACACTGAATATGATCAAACCATGAAGTTTCATTCTTATTTTATAATTAGAGTGTCTAGATTTGTCGACGGAGTAACTTCTTGAACCACATGGCTGATTTTTTTGGGTACCTCTTCAAATTGTGCTTGTAGTCAACATACACAATCCCAAAACGAACTGTGTAACCATCGCCCCATTCGAAGTTGTCCAATAACGACCATGCAAAATAACCCCTCACGTTCACCCCTTTCCTGTATATCAATTCCAATCAGCAATGAAACTAATGAGCTTTCCATTTAATATGAGTTTATGCAAGTTAGAAGCAAAGCTTGTTTTAATTTTTAAGAAAAATACTCACTTAATGGCACTTTGAACATTTGAAAGATGACGAGAGTAGTAGTCTATTCTCATGTTATCCTCCAGGGATAATTTACCATCATTAAGCTCGTCGACGCCTGTATATTATGTATGAATGAAGGGATAATAAAGCAAGAAAACTCGTATAATTAAGAAGCTATAATTATTATGGAAATGAGTTACCGTTCTCAGTTATATAGATGACTGTTTTGTTCAACTTTTTCTTTGTATAGAGCAGAACTTCTTGAATTCCTTCTGGATAAACATAAAGCCAATCCGAGGCAGCCTGCAAATTTGTACTCTAACTTTAATTGCAATTTGCATATAATTACCCTATGTCTACTCATGTGAGTGGAGAATCAGAAAATACACTAACCTTTGGACCAATAGGAATTCCCTTTCGCTCAACTGATAAAGAAAAAATACAATTTAATGTAGAGTGTGAAATGTAAATTTACAAACTTTTGAAAAGTATAGATAAAACAAATGCTTGCAACTAGCTATATATATATACTACTCTACTTACATGAAAGCTGAACACATAAATCTGTTAAGTAGCTCGGATTTTCTCTTAAGCAAGGAGTATCAGCTGCATAATTTGCAGAATAATAATTTAGCCCCAAGAAATCAAAAGATCCTTTAACCATCAGAGATTGTTCTTTAGTAAATCGCAGCATTCTTTCCTGGACATAGGTAACCATTTCAGATGGGTAGAAACCAGAATTTAGTGGCTCCAAGAACCTACAAAAGCAAAAAGTTTAAAAAAAAAAAAAAAAATTATTGATAAGCAGATTCACAAACATTATGCAATTTATCCGTATGCCAAGTGACACAATATACTCACCAATCATACAGGAAAGAAAGGACCCGAGATGCTGCATTGCGATCTGCATTTGACTCGCTTAAGGGTATTGCCCAAATAGAATTTAGAGCAATTCCAATCTGACCCTTTTGAGACATCTAAACAACACAGCTTATCTGTGAATTCACTTTTCGACAATATATAGAACTTATGCCTAGTATCACAGGAATAATGCAATAACCTGGTATTTGGTTCTATAGACTTTGACAGCAGCTGCATGAGCAAGAAGCGAGTTGTGGCCGACAATATATGGTTCAGTGGCCGAATCGCCCCCGCTGCAATTCGGAGAAAACCATTTTGAACATCTGCCTGGTGCATGTGCACCACTTGAATATCCAATGGTCGCAAAGGTCAAGGGCTCATTTAAAGTAATCCAGTGCTTCACCCTATCACCAAATAATCTGTAGCATAGCTCTGCATAATCTTGAAAATCATTCCTGTTCATTTAATGATCGCAAACATTAAAGACTGTGTTATAGTTGAAATCGGAATTACTGGTATTTGCTTAACTAATGATTACTTACACAATTTGAGGATTCATAAAGCCACCATACTCATCTTCAAGGGCTTGTGGAACATCCCAGTGGAAGAGAGTGACAAAAGGCTGCAATCCTGCTTTTTATAAATGTAAAATTAGTATTTGTTTATCAAGAATTTCAGAATTTAGCAACAATAATATATTAATTTTGAGAAAGGATTTAATAGATTGACCATTTGAGAGGAGCTCATTGATGAGACTGTTGTAATAAGTGATGCCTTCTGGGTTCAATCCTCCACTTAGCTTTCCGCCTTAAACATATAAGTTAATCTTAAATTAATTATTTGATTAGATCATTAGTCTTCAATCTTCTATATATCTGAATCGGATGGAATAACAAGAATGAAGATATATCTTACGAGGTAAGAGTCTGGACCATGAGATGGAAAATCTATAAGCATCAAATCCCATCTCTTTCATTATAGCCACATCCTCCTGTCAAGAATTAAAGGGAAAACAAAGAACAATTGTCTATCACCATATATGCAGCTTGAAAGTAACTTTATCTCTATCTAAATCATTTGATCATGGTCCAACATTACCTGACTCCTATATTTGCACTTATGAAATATATATACGTGAATGGACAGCATTAATTGAGTTCAAATGAAATAAGAAACATGTCAAAAATAGTTCTTTTTTAAGTAAAGAATTTTCATTTGTAATGGGTTTCCAAATTGACCTTATAGCGATTATAAAAATCAACAGCAACCACTCCACTACTGTGATCCTTGATCTTATCTGCAGCAAGTATTTAAACAGTAATTAATACGAAGGAAAAAACTTTTGTATACAGATTAATAGATACAAAATACAAAATATTATTTTAATAAATGTTTGATAAATAAAGATGAAACCATATAACTAAAAGAAGCTTGAATGGCCTAACATCAGGGCAGCCATGGCTACCTAGCAACCTTGGTGCCCAATAACAAGTAATGGAGAATAACCCAAATTGAAAGTGAACTACTACTACCTGTAGGGAAAAATTAATGTTGAAAGAGAGGAAGGTACCTGGGTAATTTTGAACGAAGGTGTCCCATATACTAGGTCCTCTACCACCTTTATTTGCTGCACCTTCATACTGTAAATATCATACATTAGTAATAGCCCATATACAAAGCCAGCTCACCCCAAAATTGGAAACATACTTTTTTCTAAGCTAGGGAAAAATTTACTGTGCAACATAGGCACCGTTGTCAATAAAATGAGCCTATGATATGTTTCTCATAAACAATGATTTAATACACATTATTGACTGGTTCTTAGTGCATCTGTCACATAACAAAGTTTCTCTCGAGATAGAAGATTAAGGTGAAACCCAAGAAAGAAGAAAACTATAGTGGTCAAGCAATATGCATGCAAAGTGAACAGATAAAATAAAGAATGAACGCAGGTTATTAATGCAGAAATTTTAACTAGAATAGAAATATGAGGAAGAAGAAACCTGGTAAGCTGATGATGAAGTTCCAAATACGAAACCATCTGGAAAACTTTTTCGATTAAGATAAGTGGAGTCAAAATATTCTGCACAAGCTACTGAAGTAACAAGGAGAAAAAGTAGGGGAAAAGAGCCATGAACACTCCTCATTCTTTAATCTGATCTCTAACCTATATTATTCATTCTTGTTCTTACCATATATGCTTTATATATATAGTAGTAGTAGAGCCATGAAATTGGTCTACTCACATAAACGTTTTCCTTTTCAAATTACCATGAAAGCCACCCACCATAAATTTAGAAAGATGTGCTCTTTCGGAGTATTCTAACAAAAGTACAAATTAATTAATAAATTTACAGATAGTTGGTGTGGTTGACAGTCTTTAATCTCTAATAAAGGTACAAATTTATTACTTCCGTTCAACCAACCTAGAAAACTATGGTAAACCAAAAACACTTATTGACAATTGACATGGAGGCCCCGGCTCATTCGTTTTATTTCAAGAAGTTAAACAATTTTGGAGGTAATAGGAATCTTGGAATCGACTGGTTACAAGCCTAAACATTGTCACTTTATCAGGTGGACTGCAGGTTGACGAAAATAAATTAAATTCTTGAATTCTACAATGAATTATAAAGACAAGATTCATGTAAACGGCCAATCTTTGCCGTGCAAATGCAATAATTGAGTACTAATTTGACTGCGTATATCTATGTAAGTCTTACACTAATGAATTATGATTTTCGGCTGTCAAACAATGAATGCATTTTGTATCAAACTGTGATTCCTAACAACTATGTACAGTTTGTGATTAGATTAACAGTGCTAAAGGCTGCAATTATAGTATAAATAATATATATCATTATTGAGTTCTGGTTTGTAAAACATTTCCTTAATTAACTTGAGGTAGCTGGCCATGATGAACAACTCTCCTTAATTTGATGTTCCTCCACCACCATTCCATATAAACAAGATCATTTAATTTACATTTACCGTCTAATAGAGTTTGAATCTACCTCCATATTCACTGAAAATGGCAAAGAAGAATCAGTTTTGTGGAGCTCCTTCTGAAACTCATCAACTTGTGATCTTCATCACGTTTGGCCTTTATTCAAGTGGAAAAATGGTTCAATAATACCCCACAAAATATGAGATGACTGCTCAAATATTGATTGCTTTTGGGGCATCAAAATGGTTGTCGCATAAACTTCCTTCTGCTTGGTAATTAACCTACATAAATACTGCTAAGAGTAGCAACCCAACATTGCATGCACCCTCAAATACAAGTAAAATTTCAGAAAAAAAAAGAAAAAAAACCAAAGAAAGCATCCACTTAGCATTCAACTGGTGTTGGCTTCGATGTTTTGTCATTTTGATGATTATATTTATTATATGTATCGAAACTCAAAATATTAATAATGTGCTAACTGCTAAACAAGACATTTGCGGTTGCGGGTTTCTCTCTTTGTAAGGAACGAGAATGAAAGATGATGCCTAAATCAAATTTTGAAACGTAAACTGAAAATTGATTTACAGTAGATTTTCATTACTTGAATCATAGATAATGCTCTACAAACAGTGAAAAAATTATATTTGATAGCTACAAGAAGCAAGCCCATTGCAAACCACTAAGTATCCATGACCCCAGCTGCAGCAACAACGCAGAAATTCACTTCCAACCATGAAAATGGAGGAATTACTTGCAGAACCATGACCTTGAGCCAATGGTCTCAGTTAAACTGTACCATCAGATTACAGTTGATAAATATGTGTTCACATATGATAGCCTTCTTGTGCTCAATATTGAAGGGAAGCATAGTTTTTATTATTTTTTTTTTTTTTTTCTGCATTTCATGCCGATAGTATATAGAATTTACTTCATAACCTTCGGGGTACATCAAAGCTCGATGATCAGGAACAGTAAGAAAAAACATTTTGGAGATCCTTCTTTCACACCCCATTTTCTGTTTTTCAAGTTCTTTTAAAGTAAAACAACGATTATCTACTATTCTGCAATCTCTCCTTCCTCCAATTCTTCCTCCCCTATGTAACCTCTCTTCGAATTTGAAAGATCCCCTGTTTCTTGCCCACATGCTTCCTTGGCAAATATACTGTCCAAATCAAGAAAGTCATCAGGATTAATTTCGGCGATAATATCCGAGTATGTATCTATTAAGCCTTGATCAAAATCAAACTCCATATCTTCAGGCACTCCTGGTTCTTCCATCTTTGTGTTCGAATATAATATGTTGTCTACTGCCACTCTGGTCAATAAAGGACTATCCAAGTTGTTTGATTCATTCAGAGTCATACCGGTTTGACTTGGGATTACAGGCACTGAACCTGGATTTACATGCTTCATAAGATCACAAACTTGAGGATTTGTAGAGATAACATCTTCTATTTCCTCTTCCCTGAACAGAATACCTCTCGGGCTTTGATGGTCATTGCCTACAGGATTCCTGAGCACAGGCCTATGAGTGACAGGCTGTGAATCTTTAACAACCTCAAAATCATAGCTGTGTGACGGGAGAAAAACATAAATTACAGGGTATTCCAGAATAACTATATTGGATAATTGTTGTCTTAATGGAGCCTTTATGTCCAATTCACGGAAAGGTGACTTAGCCCCCTGAAAACAGAAAAATGAAAGTTAAATCAGGCCCATAAAGAAAACATCCGGCAAAAAATTCAAAATGTAACAGAAATAAAACTAATAGGATAACGTTGCAGTTTTAGTAGTTTAAATTGGATATAAGGCCAGCACATTCTAACACATTAAGCACCATTACCACCCATAAGCACTGTGACTCTAATCCTAGCCGTGCCTGCCTTAAACCAAACTGCAGTCCATTTGTCCAAATTTAGAGTTCACAACTATAAAAGACAGGCATAAGTTACAATATCACACCTTAGTTTTCCAGGAGCTATGAGCCAAAAACCTTTTTTCTCTGATTTTAACAAACATTATGACATATATATATTCCAAAAGCAATGCACACAGTATGGTGGCCAATGCAATAATGGATCACATGGGCTACCCCAAAGAGATGCAGGGATGAAGCACCATATGTACAAAAGACAATCAAACAATTACAACATGGCAGGCACAGTCTGTGAAAAATATATCAGAAGGTTACACAAGATAAATCAGCTTGCATCTGGTGCCTGCTTGGTTGCGGTGGCACAGCACCTTGACTTTGTCCCAATCATGAGTAGGCTAATGCTAATTGAACCAAAAGGGGGCATCCAAACCCAAACTAAACCTCTAACTTACTAGGACACGGACCAAATACTCTAGAACCTGCAAGAGAGAATTAAATAACCTATTACAGTGTTAAAAGGGGGCAAAAAATAAAAGCACCTTTGGAAATTTGCGAACAAAAAACTTGAGGCAGTCCAGCTGCTCCTCAGAGAATTGTCTTAGCTGATGATTCCATGGACCAGGTTTTAGATGGTTCTCAATTAATGAGCAGAGATTTGTGTCCTCGTGCACTCTGCAAAAACACTTTAATGCATGAGTTCTTTAAACACGTCACATTCAATACCAAAGAGCAACATATAGCTAAACAGAGAGTTATATTATACAAAAGCTTCCTTCAAGATAGAAAGTGTTAGCAGAGCTTACCCATGGTTGACTAAAACAACATCTGTTGATTGGAAACGCCACTCAACAGTCCATGAGATGGATTTCTTCCTGAATCAAACAATATGAAAAGGAAAGATTAGCTCAAAACAGGAAAGCATGATAAATGAACCCCTACTTCCAATCAACAACTTCTAAGAATCTTCATTCTTTTTAGCATTCATACATGAGACAAACATTTAAATCAAAGATGAATCCAGACAACTATTTTAATTCAACTTCATCAACAAGATCCATAAAGGTATCAGGAAGGACATAATACACATTGCATATCCAAGCCAAAAGACAGCTCTAAAAGTAAAACCTACTAAACCAGAGAGAAAAATAATATACTAACCTTTGGTCATATCGCGTTTGATTCTTTTCCCTCTTTGTCATTCCACTAGGGAGAAACAAAAGTTTTGTCCTCCGGCTCGCAGCAGCACTCCTAAGACTCCGAAGATAGAATGGTAGCTTAAAATAAGAATACCCACATAATTTACCTCTCAGTCTCTGAGCAGATTCAGCGATCCTCTTCATTTCCTCAAGCAAATTATAATCTAAATAAAAAGATTTCGCAGAGCATAGAAATAAATGACATTAAAATGTGAGGAAAAAATAAGCAAACTTCATCAAGCATGTTATGGGCAACTAAAACTTTCCTCCAAAAACGAAAGGGTAACAAATAAAAACTACATATTTACTCAAGAAAATTATCTACCCCGGGTACCCAATCATTACAGAATTAAATCTATGAAAAAAAACCAATTGCTTGAAAATTTGCAAACATCTTCAATAAGCAAAAATCAGAGTATTCACACTTAGAATTGATAATCTCCAAATATTGAAATACAGCAAACTTAAATCTACGCGAAGTAAAAACTTTCAGAACAGTGAAAAATTGTATGAAACACCTGAGATAATCACAATCAAATGGCTAAATAGTTACTTAAAAACACTTTTCTTTTCCTATGCCAAATCACAACATTCAACAATTTCAAGTAAATCTTCGAGTAACAGAGAGCTGCTTACAAACAACGAAAAGGGTATCCAAATTACAATTCAAAACATAAAACTTCCTCCCCCACATGAAAATACCATCCTCAATTAAACAACAACAGATAGAATATATAGTAAAGACAGTTTAAAAAAAAAAAAAAAAAAAAAAAGGTACCAGAGTGGAGAATGTTATCGTTGAACTGAGAGAGAGGAACGAACTGGGTGACGTTCCTCTTGCCGGAACAAGCAGTACGTTGCTTGTGAGCTTTCACGCAAACAAGGCTACAAGTGCGAATTGAACAACCCGGGCACTTGTACTTTGACGGCTTATCTTTACATTCTTCGCATATGGATGCTTCTTTGGGCTTAGGATTTTGGTTGGATGAGGCTGGCTCTTCTTGTTCCTCCATTTTCTCTTCGAGGGTTTATGGAGAACAAACAGAGTTACAGCATGAACAAACACTAGGGCTTAAGAGGTGTGTTAACTGTTAAGTCATTTTATGGGTACCAAAACGCAGCGTCCAGGGCACCAATTTTAATTGTTTCATTATAATTAAAATATTAAAAAGTAAAACTTTATATATAAAAATATTAATTTTTTTCATATAAATTAACGTGTTAAAAAATGAACATGTAATAAATACAAAAAACTAATTAACATATAATAGCTATAAAAAATTAACTCGATAAATATAAATGAATAAATAGTTTGTATAAAAAATAATTCAATAAATATAGGTGAATAATGTGACAATAAAAATAGATAATAACAGTATGAATACTTAATTTATACACGTAAGATTACTTTAGTGACTATAAAAATCATAAGAGATTAAAATGATCTAAAATAAACATATATTTTTTACTACAAAATTGAAAATTAGACGGTTGATATGTTGTAATTATAATAGAAAATGGTGACCACAAAATGGATGGATTTGATATATTTATAGATATATGTTCTACTCAATTGTTGTTTTGTCAAGATCTAGACATATGCATGTTCCAAAACCCCAATTCAAGTAATGTTATAGCTAAATTATTTATTATAATAGGAATTTCTTAGTAATTTTAAGGCATAAGTTACATTAGAAATTGAATTTGTCATACATCGTTAAATTGGTAGGTTATTATAGTGTATATATGTGGTTGAACTCTCTCCTCCAAGCTAATTTTTTGATTGAGTTATACTCAAACCTGTTTATCATAATATCAGAGTTATGTTTGTGTATATATGTGATTGAACTTCTTTCCAATTGAGCTAGCTAGATCCCACATCGGTTTATCACATTAAATCCATATATATATTGATTATAAATTAAAAAACGAAGATTTAGTACATTGCCAGCGTCACTTCTTGATTAATTAATATAGAGAAATTAAATGAATTCTTCAAAGTAAGGACATGTGATCATGCGATGTCACCTTATAATTATTCCTCTTTTAACTGAATTAAATATTGATATTTTGTGATTAATTAATTAAAATCATAAAAATTAAGGTTCCGTTTGGTTTATTATACTTATGCTTTTTAGAATAATATTTTTAAAAAATAAAATTGAGTTATCTTTATGAGAAAAATAATTATTAATATTTTGATAATTAAATATAGTAAAATTGAATTTTGAGAATATTAAAATAAATATAATTTTAGGTTTTTAAGATAAAGATGGTAAATTATGATAGGATAATAATAGTGAAGAATAAATTATAATTGAATATAACACGGAAAAAGAAATAAACTAGAAAGGTGGGTGTGGGGTTTGCGCCAATGCGAAATTTACACGTAGTCCCCATGGATCTAGTGGGTGTGTGAATGTGAGCGGGGAAGTCACCTTCGCGTACTCCCATTACCCACCGAATTCCCCGCCTAACTTCACTTTTTTGATATTTTATTTTTTATCATAAACCTTCCCTAATGTAAAAGCGATTGGATTTGTGTTGTGTTGAGTTAAGAAATATGAAATTTCAATCGACCTTAATTTCACCCATTTAATTATTTGCAATAAAAACACGAATATGACAAGAATAAGAATCACATAACCCGTTTAATTTATGAGCCATATTATGTTGCAACAATGTTTAATTCATTTAACTCATATGTTTGTTAATAATGTTATTAATTTTTTCATAAATAGATATTTGTATTATAAAGTATAAACAAGTTATATCATTTGTTTAATTAATCATGTCATTGAGGATTTGACGGTTATGAACTTTTAACTCAAACACTTTTTATGATTAATAGATGAATTGAGTTTTTCAACATTAAACTAAAATTTTCCTACTTAAACGGTGTTAGACGCTAATCAGTTTGGTATGTTGTATTAAAAATGAGAAATGTTAGATGTACAAAATTTTTTACAAAGAGATATGGTAGCTGTCACACCACTAGTTTGTGAAAAGAAATAAAAGATTGATGTGAAACTAGTGTTGTGACAACTGCCACATCACTTTGTACAAAAACTCTTTATATCTTTAGCATTTCCATAGGCATGGCAATGAGTCTTGAGATTTCAGGGCCCTGTCCTAACTCGCCCCGTTTGGGGTGAGGATTCCCTGGTTTTTTCGGGGATGGGAGGAGTTTTAATCCCCAGGGATGGGGCGAGGGTAGGGGTGCCCTTCCCCTGCCCCGCCCCGTCCCACCTCACATATAATACATAAAATTATATATATATATATATATTTTTTTTCACTAATACCCCTATATATTTCACTTAATTATACAATTATCGTACCTATATAAACTTATATTTTCCCAATTTCCCTCGACCTAAACAATTGAATAAGAACAAACCCTAACCCTAAAGTCTTAAACTTGTCACCATTGCCATTCACTCTTAGCCGACTTCATATTGCCGTTCGTCATGTGGACGAATACATAACGAGTCTGTATTTTGGACAAGTGCAATGTCTTAGCTTAAGTTTAAACGATTAATTAAAATATTTGTCATGTGGATGAATCTAAACATTAAAAGAGAATTAACTATTGTGTTTGGTAATACTCAAATTGATGTTAATGTAAAATTAATGGGGCGGGGACGGGTCTCCAACATTCCCTATGAGGCAGGGATGGAGAATTCTTAGCATCCTCGCAACAGGGATGGGGTGCGGTGGGGATTGATGTTGAGGGTGGGGATGGGGACGGTGAATGAGATCCCCGCCCTGCCCCGCCCCATTGTCATGCCTGATTTCCCATTAAAAATTGCCACCCCTAGAGGGAGATTTGCGAATCTTATGGGACTAGTGAGTTATATTTCTGAAACTATAGGGTATTTTAAAGTTTAAGGAAACAATAGGGTAGATATGAAAATTAAACGCGAACTTATTATTCCTATATATGCCCTTTTTATCACTTTTTGTTTCTTCGCATCCTAAAACAAAGAACAACGACAATACGTAAAACAGAGCCTCAGATCTTAAGCAACCTCAGCCAGCTTCACCTTATTCCTGGCTTTCTGAATCGATTCTACTGACAGGTACTATTTTTATTCCTTTTACTTTTGTTTTCTTTTTCAAGTTTGTCGTGGTTTCTGTTATGTTTTTTTTTTTGGTTTTTGAAGATTTAATTGAAGTTTGCAGATCGTGAGTGCTTGAGTTGATTTGTATTTTCTTTGGTTTCATCTTTGCTTGATTTGATCTGGGATTCTTCAGATCCATTTTTTATTCCTTGTATCAACATTTCTTCGCTTTTCTTGAGATTTATTGTTAGATCTAATAATATCATAGGCCCCAGCTTAAAGTGGCTTGAGATTAAGAAGGGCACGTTTAGATTTCAGTTCAGTTGATTGTGAAATTAAATTTGGAGCTGATGTGGACTTGTAGCCAAGGAAGATGGATTGTGTAATTGATGTTAAAGATCATTATCAAATTAATTAGAGTTTGTATTGTATGATTAAGGAAAGAAATGTAATCGATATTATTCAACTCATATTTTTGTTTATTTGTTACGCAGTGATTTGTTGTCATAATTGTGTCTATAATGTGGAGATTCAAACCCTTTATGCAAAAGGAGCCAACTGGGCTTGAGGGTCGCACTATCGATGTTGGCAATCTCAAAATTCATGTACGGAATGTCATTGCTGAAGGAGGGTTCTCTTGTGTTTATTCAGCTCGTGATGCTGTGAATGCATCAAAGCAGTATGCTTTGAAGCACATGATGTGCAATGATGAGGAGTCATTGGAACTGGTGATGAAAGAGATATCAGTGATGAAATCTCTCAGAGGACATCCCAATATAGTCACACTTCATGCCCATACTATTATAGATATGGGGAGGACAAAGGAGGCTCTCCTTGTGATGGAATTTTGTGACAAGTCTCTGGTTAATGTGTTGGAAGGCAGAGGTGCAGGGTTTTTTGAGGAGAAGCAGGCTTTAGCAATTTTCAGGGATGTGTGCAATGCAGTCTTTGCCATGCATTGTCAATCTCCACCCATTGCTCACAGGTATTATGACAATAAACTTGGCCCCATTTTGTCGAGTTTATAATCATACAACATGGAATTGTTTTATGCACCCCATATAGTTGTTCTACAAAAAATCATTAAAAAATTTGTGTCTACTCTGTGTTGGGTACCATGGGCTTTATTCACATTGTTTTATCAGTCACAATATGACACCTGATTATCTTTAGTTAGATGCCTCTGTTGTTTAGATATATATCAAATCTACCTCTTTATGCTTATTTATTTTACTTGCTGTTAGACTAACAGGAAGTGATATACTTTTCTCATTCATAGACTAAACTCTGCTGGTATATTCTTCTTGACTGCTTTTTTCCAGAGACTTGAAGGCTGAGAATCTCCTTTTGGGTTCTGATGGATCATGGAAGTTGTGTGATTTCGGAAGCATATCTACCAATCATAAACGTTTTGAGAAGCTTGAAGAAATGGGTGTCGAAGAAGATAATATCCGGAAGCACACAACACCTGCCTATAGAGCTCCTGAGGTTTATTGATAAAAAATTTGCTAACTTGAATTTGTGATCTTTGGTGGTAAAAATATTTGATTCCTATCTTACTCCTTTTATTGCCTTAGATGTGGGATCTGTTACGGAGAGAACTTATAAATGAGAAGGTGGACATATGGGTAAGTCAGTTGGTCCTCATTATTCTGTATGAACTCCAAATCAGTTGTAACTTAGAATCTATAAATCTTTCAAACTATAAGCAGGAACTGAAGTTACTCTGTCAATGTTTGTAGGCTCTTGGATGTCTCCTCTTTCGCATATGCTACTTCAAAAATGCATTTGACGGGGAATCAAAATTACAAATTTTGAACGGGAACTATCGTATTCCAGAGTTGCCGAAATACAGCTCCTTCATTACAGACTTGATTAGAGACATGCTTCAAGCTTCACCAGATGACAGACCAGACATCACGCAGGCAAGCGCTTTGCTTGATTGGCCATTCATCTCCATGAACTTAGGTTAGTTTTAGATTGCTATACCCATGCCATTATTATGTGCAGGGATTCTAACATTTTGCTCACTGATGCTGGGATTTTCTTCCCATGTTGACAGGTGTGGTTTCGTGTTAATGAGCAGCTACCTGCTGGGTTACAGAAATCATTGCCTGATAGACCACCTGAAATGCAATCTGCTGGTCATGAAGGTGAGCATGAATTTCTACCCTGCATCTAAGCTTCAGTTGCGAGCACGTTGACATACTTCTTTTTCTGTAATGAATTTTCTAATTTGATTTCAAGATCAGATTTGTACCTCAATTAATATAGAGGTAGAACTTAAAATTTTAATGAATGCTCTACTTGCCAACCTTTTTCACTTTTATTCATTTATTTTCTTTTAAAACAAAGAAAATCTACATGGCGGGTACTATCTTAAACTAAAAAGAGGACAGAAATGACAATTGTATGTGGGTGTTCAAATATCTGTTCTTTGGATCTTTCATTTGGTTAAAGACTATGCCATTTGTTTATAATATGTAGCAGGAGTATCAAAGCCACCAAATAGGTCACCTCTGATGCCTCAAAGAAGTCCACCACCTCCTCCTTCATCTGGAGAAGCAACTAGAAATGTATCACAGCCATCCGTTACCTCTGGGGTGGGTGGAACTGGGGGTTCGCTTGGTGCTTTCTGGTCTACTCAACATGCTAAGACCTCAATTTTTGTGGAAGACATGAGCAGACCTAAATTTGACGAAGAACCGACTAACTATAGCTCTACAATACACGATGGGAATCGACCAGATAACTATCCTTTACCCAAGAATACTAGCCCTGTAAAAGATGAAAATATAAGGACTAATGTAATAAGAAGAAATGTTCATGATAAACCACACAAGCCTGAGGATGGCCCTTCCATAGATGTCAAGATGAACTTTTTCCATAAAGACACAGATACTGGTGTAGAGAAGCTGAAGGCATCAAAACCTGAGGGCATGGCTACCTTCCAAGATGATGCTTTTAGCTCTTTTGTTGCGGAATTTGATACCAATAAACTTAACGCTGGAACTGGTAATAACAGATCAGGAAAAGAAGAAGCATTAGAAGATGAAATAGAGAGGCTGAAAGTGCAGTTGAAGCAAGCCAACTTAGAGAAGGTTGAAATGACATCCAAATTTGAAAAGTTATCTGCCATTTGCCGATCCCAGAGACAGGAGATACAGGAGCTCAAGCAAGCTCTTGCTGCTAGATCTCCATCACCAAATAAAGATGCTTCAAGAAATCAAATTTCATCTGGGAATCAATCATCTGCAACACCTCCGGTATTGTTTTTGATAATATTAAGTTTATAATAATCTTATATCTAATTTTGGACATTTAATTGGGTTCTTTCATAATGTTCATGTGTTTGATGTATTTTACTTGTATCACTGCAGAGGGAAAAGATTGAAGGAACAGTTTGGGAACTCCAGAAAGGTAAAACTGACTGGGGTACCCCAACTTCAGAGGCAAACTCTTGGCAAGCTTTTCCTGAGGAGCCCAAGCCACAGCGAATTGCCCATTCGGTTAGGACCAGAAATGGTCATCTTAACAAGCAGGCTGCTCAAGCAACTTCTGGTTTTGATACATGGGGTTTTGGAACGGAGAGTTTTACAGCCATCTCTACAGCCAGCAGCCAGAGAGCAAAACCAAATGGTGAAGGAAACAGTTCTCAGGGCATTGGGCAGTCAAAGATTACAGACAAGCAGTCATCTGTTCAACCTGCTGGATGGGCTGGTTTCTAACTAAAGCAAATACTATAGTTTCATTTTATGTGCTCCTGTCTGGGAAAGATAAGGAAAAGCCAGAAATACAACGTTTGGTTGTCTTCTTTTGTTTTGAGTGGTTGCGATTTGTAGATCATCTAATGCAATTGAACATTTGCACATGTTTCTCTGAACTAAGCAGCAAATTACAAATATATACTATTTGAATGTCACAATTGTTGTATGTTGAGTAAGAAAGTATATATTTTTTTAAATCATTTGTATTTGTTTGATTTTATGGTTAATTGTAGTGATGATCGGCTTGGGAGTCTCAGGTCCTCTACCTGCTTGTGTTTTTCTTACATTGTTGTGAGCTGTGAACACTGCCTGGCTAAAATCTAAAACATGCAGTTTACCTGCTGTAGTTAATGATATGGTTCTAAAAACAAATCAGTTGCGTATCGATTCAAAAACAATTTTGAAAACTTAAAATATGTTTAAAATTTTTGAGTTGTATTTTAATATATAAAAATATGTTTGATAGAATATTAAAAAATTGTGTCATGATATTTACAGGCTACAGCTGCAAGATGATATAAATTTCAATCGGTCTGGAAGAAATTTGGAGCCTCTTTGCAAGAAGAATATTATTCATTGACAGGTAGGAATACCGTATCCAGCATTCAAAGTTGAACAAGTCTATATTTGCATGGTCCAAATGATGAAATAGCTTTTGTAAAATACCCATATGCCATACTAATGTGTTAATAGTAGTTTGCACCTTTGAAGTGGTCTTATATTTAGAAATGAAACACGTCTTAAGGAGACCTTATTTTCTTAGTTAGCCTATGAATTTTATTGATGACTCTTGTCAGTCAACTTCTAGCTATACGTGTTACCCTAAATAACTTCATATTTTTTGGATGTATAAATGGTGAATCTTCTGACAAATTACAAACTTAGTTTCCAGGAAAGGGATGAGAATTGACATGAACAAAGAAAGTCTCTTCTTTAACTTCTATATATTCCTGCAGGGCCAGGCTATGTAACATGGTACTTAATTCCTGTGTATACAGTGATGGGAAATACTTCTGTTGTTCATCATCTCACCCTATTCCTGCTGCTTGTTCTTCATTTACCTCTTTTTCCCGTAGTTGGTTCAACTGGAAATATCATTTCCTCGGGTTCCACCCTTTCCGTAGACTCTTCTCCCTTGAAATCCCCTTCAGGGAATTTTGCCTTCGGGTTTCACGACACTGACAATCAAGACCTTTTCTTGCTTGCCGTTTGGTTTGATACTTTACCAAATCGAACTATAGTCTGGTCCGCAGCTGATAATGAGACGTCAATAACAGTAACAAGAGGGTCTCAACTCAAGCTGACTAATGATGGTGAACTTGTGCTCTATGACCATCAAGGTAAGGAGTTATGGAAAAATTTTCAAGGCAGTAGTGCATCTAAGGGCCACGAGGCTGCTATTCTGGATGACGGAAACTTTGTGCTTCGAGATGAAAATTCTAATACCATATGGGAGAGCTTCAAACATCCTACAGATACAATCTTGCCTGGACAGATTCTTGATATGCCTACTTTTCTCAAATCTCGTCTCTCGCCACAGAATTATTCTTATGGGCGGTTCCAGCTCCCTCTCCAGGCTGATGGCAATCTTGTGCTATATACTGTATCTATGCCATCTGAAAACGTTCAAGAGGCTTATTGGGCCAGCATCACATTTGGCCACACATCTAAATTGATCTTTAACGAGTCTGGATATATTTACATCGAAGAAGGGACCAAAAAGATCTTCAACCTAACAAAAGTAGCCCCAGGTCCGAAGGAAGAATTCTTCCGCTTGGCTAGGATTGATTATGATGGAGTGTTCAGGCAATACAAACATCCCAAGGATGAAAGTAAAGCATGCGACTTTACTTGGAAAGAGGTAGAGAGCATTCCCCAGGATATTTGCCTTGTCATTACAGGTGAGATTGGCAGTGGGGCTTGTGGTTACAACAGTTATTGTGCGCGCACAAACGAGAAGATGGAATGTTTATGCCCGGAGGGATATTCCTATATTGACCCAAATGCCACAGGCCAAGGGTGTAGACCAAGTTTTTCGCTGCCCAGCTGCGTGGCTGACGGCTGGGAAGTAGATACCGAAAATGTAGATTTTAAAGAATACAGCTTCACTGATTGGCCATTATCAGATTATGATGTTCAGATTGGAGATGAAGTAGACATGCAGATGTGTAAAGATCTATGTCGTAAAGATTGCTTTTGTGCTGCTGCTATTTTTAATGGGAACACTTGTTGGAAGAAGAAATATCCTCTGTCAAATGGAAGAAGACACCCAAGTGTGAATAGAACAGCTCTCATCAAGGTACCGAAAACTGATGTGTCCAACCGCTTGGGTAAAAAAGACCAAAATTCAGCTAATATCATTGTTGTTTCAGCCTTACTTGGAAGCTCTGTGTTTCTCAATATCCTTCTTCTATTAGCTTTTATTTTGTCTGTTTACTATTCATATCATAAAAAGCTGCTTTTGCAATCAGTTTCAAGTTTGTCATCAACAAATGTCAGAAGCTATACATACAAGGAGCTGGAAGAAGCAACAGGAGGCTTCAAGCAAACATTGGGTAGAGGTGCTTTTGGAACGGTTTATAAAGGGGTCTTAGCATCACAACCTAAGAGATTTATTGCAGTCAAGAAATTAGATAAGATGGAACACGAAGGGGAAAAAGAATTCAAAACGGAGGTGAGTGTGATTGGTCAGACTCACCACAAAAATTTAGTCTGTTTGCTTGGGTTCTGTGATGAAGGAGAGCACAGGCTTTTGGTATACGAGTATATGGGTAATGGGTCTCTGGCAAGCTTTCTGTTTGGAATATCCAGGCCTAATTGGAACCAAAGAGTACAAATTGCTTTTGGCATTGCAAGAGGCTTAATGTATTTGCATGAAGAGTGTAGCACTCAGATCATCCACTGTGATATAAAGCCTCAGAACATACTCTTGGATGAGTACTTTACGCCTAGGATTTCTGATTTCGGATTAGCGAAACTTTTGTTGGCAGAGCAAACTCGAGCAGCTTACACAGGCATAAGAGGAACAGTGGGGTACTTTGCTCCAGAATGGTTTAGGAGAGCCTCAATAACTGTTAAAGTTGATGTGTATAGTTTTGGTGTGATGTTACTGGAGATCATTTGTTGCAAATCAAGTGTTGAATTTGCTATGAGAAATGAAGAGGAAGCACTCATGGATTGGGTTTATAATTGCTACAAAAGAAGAAAGCTCGATAAATTGGCAGAAAATGATGAAGAAGCAAAGAATGATTTGAAGAGATTAGAGAGGTTTGTGATGGTATCACTTTGGTGCATTCAAGAGGATGCTTCACTAAGACCTACAATGAAAAAAGTTACACAAATGCTTGAGGGAGTCATTGAAGTTTCTGTGCCACCATGCCCTTGGAATTACGGTTCAAATTCAACTAATATACAGATTTCAATGCAATGAATATGCACTCTGTTGGTATTTCTTCATTTATCTTTTACTACGTAATTTTTTTTTTTAAGAAATATCTCTTACGAGCCACAATGTTAAGGGGCTGTTTCTCTAATGTTATAGAACATATTCATTATAAGATCACAATTGTATTAAGCCTGGAATAGGATTGGGCATAGCTTGAGCTTGTATTATATCCGCTCTGCCTTTAGTTTCTTTATACTACCAGCATTCACCTGTTGTTACAAATCAGATTGCCGCTTAATTTTCAGAGCCAAATATGCTTGCCCGGCTGACACTAATGAAAACGAACAAATATTAATGGCACCCCACAAGAAACATAATTTAAGTTAATTATTAGATAAATCCAGTGTGAAACCGTATGTTTAATGTAATATATATACTAAAATTATACAACAAAATAAGCAGAGAAAGTGTGGTGCCTGGAAATTTGTGCATAAGAAATTGAATAAAAAAGAAAGGAATCTAACAGTTATATTAAACGTTGGAGGAAAAGGAAATGGATAAAAAATAAAAGGGGGAAGAGGAGGGGGGCGGGGGGATTCTGGCAGTGCAGTTGAACCTCTTGGGAATCCAGAAAGTCCTCTAAATGCACCACCACTTTTTAGTGTATATATATAAACAAAGAACACATGCTTAAAAAATGTCAGTCAATGGAGCGAAGTGGGGAAATTGGTGCTCATTCTAGCTGGCCAGTGCAAAGATACTGTCACTCCTCATTTCATGTCCACCATTTTATATGTGTGGTTGACATTTGCTTAGTGATAGTTTCAGGAATTCTCAGTCTCACATAATGTGAGAAACATCAATTCTTGTTTCTTATGTTTCAATGAAAAGTGATCCTTTTATTACAATTTTATCAGTATCCAAAAGATTGTAATATATATATATATATATATATATACATGGAATGATGAAACTTAATTCTTAAGAGTTAAATTTTTCAACAAACGAGTGGCCACATAATTAGTCTCACTGAATTAGTGGACAAAAGAAGCAACTTAGTAGGCATGAATCACTCATCTAAATTGCTTATTAAATTAAACCATTACTAACTATTTGCTTGTCATGACTGGCCAACAAGGTCATTTGATCAGTCAGAGGTAGGGGTGTAAACGAGCCGAGTATCACCCTAAACGAGCCTGGCTCGATTAAGCATTAGACGAGTTCGAGTTGAGTCACAAGTCAACCAAGTTGAGAAAATTTGGCTCATGACTCGGCTCGTTTATAAACGAGCCGGCTCGTGACTCAACTCGTTTATAAACGAGCCAGCTTGTGACTCGGCTCATTTAACGCGAGCTCGAATTGACTCGATTACGGCTCGTTTGGGCCTTTTTTAATATAACCTGTAGATCTTGTTTTACACAAATCAGATCAAATTTTTAATAAATTTGCATCTAAATCAACATAATCACATCCAAATCAACATAAATAACGTATTACACAACAAATTATACAATCTAAGAAAAAAAAAAAAAAAACACAAATGTCCATCAAAATACATCAAAATTATCATCAAAACGGCATAGAACTCAAACTTTTGGAAGTTGAATCTCCAATGGTTCCTGTGTTTGTGGGTGGCTTGGTGTGATAATCAGGAAATTGTTTTTGGGGTTTCTTGTTTTAGGGTTCTTGATTTGGGAGAGAATGAATTTACGCAATTTGATTTTGGGTTAATTGGGATTATTTGGTTAAGGGTTAATTTGTAATTTTTTAAACCTTTTAGTCTTTTACATGTCAAATTACAAGAAAAACCAAAACCTTGTATTATGCACAGAAAAACCCTAAACGAGCCATTATTGGCTCGCGAGCCGAGTCGGGGTAGACTCGAACTCGGCTCGATAACGTACTTCGAGCCGGCTCGACTCGATTATAATCAAGCTGAGTTTGAGTATTTAACGAGTCGAGCCGAGCCAACTCGAGAGCGGCTCGGCTCGACTGACAGCCCTAGCCAGAGGCAAGGATCCAATGAGGTCAAGGCCAAAATTGGCCTTTCAAGAAAGAATGCTTTGGTCTCTTCGAACACCGAAGGGTCAATTTAGATGTGTCCATCTAAATGGAACCAAAAGAACCCCTTTTGTTTATTAATGTATATCTTGATACAGAGAGTACTTGTCTTTGTCATGTAAGAATTATTTTAAAAGTATTGAATGTTTTGTTTATTATCCTCCGTGAAGTTAAACAATTTGCTAAGGCATTTTGGCAGTATCAAGTGCTCCTTGTTCTGATATCTGTCATGCATTGTCACGTTCTTTTAGCCGCGTACGCAATTGTTGTATTCAATAATACAATGCTTAGCTCCATAGAACTTGTACTATTGCATATATAAGAATTCTTAGGTGTTGATATTTCCATGTTTGTTATGAAAAATAAATTTTACAGTCCCAGGTCGTGGAATTAGTTCAAGATACGCCAAACGGGTATTGATCCTCAACGCAAGTTTGGCTGAGTTTTTTTTTTTTTTTTAATCAACCTTGATTAATCAAGATCGCTATTTAAGAAAAATGCAAACGAGTTCGCAGAAGAGTGGGACTATGTATATAAACCAAAACTTCCCAAAAATGTAAAAGAGACGTGGAGTGTGCAGCTTGAGAACATTTTCAGTACCCTATAATGGCCAGTCTTCAACTGTTAATTCATTGAGATTCATTCTATAAGTAACAAGTTTAAGTCTTGAAGATTTATCCAAGTAAATAATATGAGACTTGTCAAAGTTGCATATTTACTTCGGAAATAATTATTTTTTAGTGTTTGAAACTTTGGATGTATCAAAAGCAAACAAGATAATTGGTCCTTCCTATCTGACTTGGAATGATCAAATAGGATCATGGATTGATGTCGACATTATGTTGAAGCTTTCCACACATTAGATATTTCCTGTAAGTTTATGTGTTCATGCCGTTGCTTATTGTTCCTCTTCTCTTTCCTGATTTTCTTTCTTGTTACAACCTCATCCCCAAGCAAGAACCAAGACAAAAGTTAGTGCTATCCTGGTGTTTAATTAATCATCGGCACTGAAAGTATAACATCTTGTTGCAGGATAAAAGAATAGTTTCTTCTTGTGGTGGTGGAAGGTTTTTTGTTTAGTACAAATGAACACTCAAAAGAGAAAGGCTCACGGGCAGAATTATGGATCTTATCTGCAGCCTCGGAACACGGGACTTGTGTTCCAGTCTCAGTTATCAGAGGTGGTGGGAAGTTCAACCAAGCTGAATCCAGGGACTTCTAACACATCAGGCATCCTTTCTAGCAAATTTTCATCACCTGTTTCATTATTGTATGCAACAGATGAGAAGTGCAATGGATATTCACAAGGGCATTCAGACATTGATGGCTTACCTACATGTTCTCAAGTGTCAAGAGATCAATTTTCAACTGTTCCATTGTCTAGATCTTTTAACCAAGATTCAAAAGAGTTTGACAATTTTGATCTTCAATCACTGGTTAAATTTCACCTCCAAAACAATCAGAATTCCCATTTCTGTGAAAAGATCCATCAAAACTCTTATGGAAACTTAGCAGGAAGTGGTGTTATCCCATACATGCACAAGTCAACGGAAGAAGTCTCCCTGAAACAAAGGCGAACATATGTTAGTATAAGCAACCCGCAAAATCAGGAAGTGAGTTCAAATAAATTTTCTTTTAATCATTTTTGTTTTATACAGGTGATAATAACATTGTGCCTAATATGTAGACAAATTCATACTCTTGCTTTCAGATTGGCTATCAATCATTCAACAGCCAGCTTCTGAAACCACGCTCTTCATATGGCACAAGCTCCAGTACTCATAGTAATCTTGTTCCAGCAGGAGCAAGAATCACAAATAAAGCACGAATAAGATGGACTCAAGATCTTCACAGTCGATTTGTTCGGTGTGTAGAATGGCTTGGAGGTGCTGAAAGTAAGTGCTGCAGAATATTGTGAACGAACGAGATATTTTTTAATCAATAACCTTTTCTTTGTTTACTCTCTGCATTTGCAGAGGCTACTCCTAAAGGGATCCTTAAGTTGATAGACACTGATGGATTGACTATCTTTCATGTAAAGAGTCACTTGCAGGTTAGATGTTCATTACTGCTAAAATATTGATGTTGTACGGAGACAGATCCTCATCTTCTGGAATTTTCATTGGAAACCTTTCTTTCGTTTTTTTTTTTTTTTTTTTTTTGCCCCCAGAAATATCGAACTGCAAGGCACATTCCGGAATCAACTGAAGGTATATTCTTTTCTTATCCCTGACGTGGATCTTAAAATAATTACTATCCCTTGTTTGCTTCTTCTCATAATGCGAAAAAACCCTTGAAGACATAGCAATGCTAAAGGTTTATGGATTTTGAAGTTCTTGCTTGTTGTTTTGCGTAGCATAAGGATAATATTGCAGGCAAAGATAATAATTATAACCTTACACAATACACTAGCCATAAAATTATTCATAAAGAATACAAAGCATTGTCCCCTTTCTGATTAGTTCTAGAGAGCACCCAGCTAAGGCCTATTCAACAATAGATTCTTAAGCTTTCTTATCCTTTCACATAAATTAATTAAGAATTTAATTAGTGAACTTAAGTGTTGAAAAATGCTTTTTCCCTATGACATTATGTACAATGGCATATGGAGATGTTACATAAGAAAAGAAAAAAGTTAATTGTTTTGGGGATATGGATACAAAATCGAGAAATATTTTACAAAATGTTAGACCGAGACTCGGATTTATCTTCTACCCAAGTCTTTTTATTGGGATTCAAGGTACCTCCCTCCAACTTTAACTTTGGATATCATTCTTTCATTTGAGTCAGGAGTACCACTTTGAACTACTAGAGGAGGTGGATAAGGGATATTTCATAGTACAGACTGGTACATATATAAATGACTCAATTGTCTTTTTGACTGATTTTTCTGTGTTGTACCTCCTTTTCTATTCTAATTCTTCTTGACTACTAACTATTCTTGTAATTTTCTTTTCCTTTTTCTTTTTCCCTTTAATTCGGTGCTTCCACCTGAGAAATACTTCATCACTTGCATCTTATATTTTACTTAACAATTGGATTTTATGTGTTATACATATGTGTACATTTTGCTTTTCATTTGCAGGAAAATCAAAGAATGAGAGGACAAACGATATCAATGCAATGGCACGCTTTGACCCTAAGACGTAAGCTTTCAATAATCTTACATTCTAACTTATCTTCATCCTTGAATGGTCTTGTTCGTTCTTCAAGCCAAGATGTTAGATTAAAACATACCTTGATTTGAAGAAGGAAGAAAGAGAGAAAGAGAGATCGTATACATACTTTCTTTTTAGCTATTCACATCTTATTGATCCATGATCCTCAATCAACAGAGCCATACAACTTGTAGAAACGTTGAGACTGCAACTAGATGTCCAGAAGCGCCTAAATGAACAATTGGAGGTGCTCTTTTTTAGCCAAAATTATTCAAAGAGTTGATATATGTACATTTCATTTACATACAATATATATACAACATTTCTGTTTCACTTCCCTGGTTTAGGTCCAAGGAAATCTACAATTGCAGATTGAAGAACAAGGAAGGCAGCTCAAAGAGATGCTAGATCAGCAACTAAATACAAACAGTTCTCTTTTTGACACTCACAACGCAGACATCAGAAGATAATCCTCCAAATGAACTAGAAAGATATGTGTCTTTGATATGGAAGATTTCAAGGATATCCACACACTTCTAAAACAGTATGTTAAAAATCTTGCCAATGTAGATCATTCTATTGCTGCATTCGTGGGAGGTGAGAAGCCTTCCCTAACATACTTGTTTCAGACAATAAAGTCTATCAACAAATTTCATTCATCAAAGAGACAAAGAACGAATAAAACAATTATGCTCCTAGCAGTTCATATGTTTTGTTTCTTTAGTGTATTATCTCTAGTTGGCACTTGAGAATTGAACTTGGGAAACACTCCTAAGAAGTCCCTTGTTCCAGCAAAGCAAAAAATCATAACAATGCATTTTTTTTTTTTCTCTTAAATCACAACTGATTTTTACCTAAAGCGTTATGGGTTTGGAGAATGATTGAAAAAACAACCAGGTTTCATATTTTAGAATTTTTCAAATAATTTGGTCAGCTCTCTGGCTAGCACAATCATGGGATATGCATTTGGAAGCAGTTTATGGACAAATTTGCAATCCATATGCACATTACATTTATTCAACTGATTTGAATCCTCTCCTGATTCTATTTTTCTTAATATTCCAATTCTCTATCGTGAGAAATTATATTTTCAGCATATCAACGAACGTAACGTCAAGCCTCATCCGATTGAAAAAGTTGTACATATACTCTCTTGTATAGAGGTGGATTACTCGAGATGGTAAACTCTTTGGCAGCTCCAATATTGAAAGATGAGTTAGGATAACAGAATGTAACAATTAACTCTCTCCTTCTATCTATTCACAACCGCTCCATGATCTTTTGCTTTGTAAATCCCGTTGCTCATAATCTGCACATTTCACCAAACACATTAACAACTAAACGCTAAACAAAGCTCCGTATGTGTGACTTCTTCTGACTAAAATGTTACATGAGTCTGTGATGTGGCCAAAGTTTACCACAATAGGACCATCATTAGATAAAACAGTGATTCATTGTCCATCTTTCAAAGCCTGTATGTCACATTCCACATTTCCACATCGTCTAGTGAATAAGTTTAGGATTCAGTTTATAAGGTTTGACTCCACCAAACCAAGTAGACGTATTTTGGGTGAAGAATGCTTCCATGAAGCCTAAAAATAAGCCCGTGTTAGCCTAATCCCAAATTGGACAAATCCTGCTCTACTTGGTTTGACCCAGGATCTAAGGTTGTAAGCAAGAGAGTGATCCCACTCAAGCAAGTATCCTCACTTCATATGTTCCTTCTTGGTGTAAGCCCTGGAGATTCAGTCTCAACTTCAAGTGGAATAAGTCTCTAATGGTTCCCTGTAATAAACAAATCTTCCTAAGTCTCTAATGGTTCTCTATGATAAAGAAAATTTCCCAAATTTAATTAATACGGACTAAGACAAGAATTTCAAAGAGTTTATAGAGACGTGAAGTGTGCAATTGTACATTCATGCTTGAGAACACCAAAAAATGTACAGAGACATAAAGTCTGTAGTTATTCATTCATTCTTGTGTTGGTTTACAAGCTGGAAAATACAAAGGAAAGAACGCAAGGATATTCTCGGAGACAAGTTTTCCAGAGAATGTCTGCCAAGTGTTTTTTTTGTTTTAATTGTCTTGTCTTATCTTGTATGCTTTTCATTAATCATAAACAAAGCTTATATATAAGCTGATTACATCATCATATACATCACAAACATGCTAACTCTACTAAGCATTAAATGCTAACCTAAATTTGTAGAGATATTTACAAGATATTATCACAGAGTCATACATTCTTACTTAATACAAAAATATGTCAAACTTAACATTCCTAAAAGTCAACTAAACCACTCCTGATAGTTGACGAACTCTTACACCTTCTAGATCGACTCTGAATTGTCAACCTTTTTTATGTTGCATAATGCTTCTAATCGCATGCACTTTTGGTCGCATAGATTCTTGCTTCCATTACTTCCAGGTTGCATTATCTTCTGGTCGCTACTTCCAAATCGCATGCCCTTTAGGTTACATGCTCTTTAGATCGTTACCGATCACGTCATCCTACAACTCCCATCCATCTTATCTTGCACATTTAATCGCAAGCTTCAGATTAGGGCAAGCCTTCAGATTGCATTCTCATGTTTCCAGCAAGATATCACTTGCTTAAACACTCCTCCTTGATATTTTTGCTGGAAACACCAAGTCTAAATCTGAACTCTTCAAACTTGGCTTTGCATAAAGTCTTAGTAAAAATATCTACTACTTGTTCTTCAAATTGACAATGAACGATCTTCACTTCTTTGTTTTACTCGGCTTCTCGAACAACATGATACTTGATCTTTATATGTTTTGATTGGCCATGAAACATCAGGTTCTTGGCCATTGCAATAACATATTGGTTGTCATAGAAGATCGTTGTTGGCTCACATCATTCTAGCTTCATATCCTTAAGGATCTTCCTTAGCCAGATCGCCTGATTCACTGTTATTGTTGTAGTGATGTATTCTGCCTTCGCAGTTAATTGAGCCATTGTCTTTTGCGTCTTAGACAACTAACTAAACACTCATTTGTTTAAGAAAAACACATACCCTAATGTTCTTTTCATATCTTCAACTGATCCTACCCCAGTTGCTATTAGTATCACTTACCAAGTTGAAGTATTCAAATGCTCTTTAACATATCCCGAGGTCTACACTTCCTTTGATATATTTGAGCACCCTTTTGGCTACTCTCAAGTGATGTAAGCAACCTATCAAGCTCTATATTTTCTTTCATTGACCTTGCGACCTCCATCTTCTTTACATAACTTTTCATTTTGTACCAGTAGAGTGCTCACTGGATTAAAACTCTTCATGCTAAACTTCTTCAAGATCTCATTTGCATATTTTCTTTGGCAGAGAAATATGCCATTTGGAGATTGGTGTATCTCTATCCCAAGGAAATAGGTTATTTCTCCCAAATTTGTCATCTCGAACTCCTTATGCATTGCTCTCTTGAATTGGTCCACTCGATTAATATTGTTTCTAGTTACTAGTAAGTCATCGACATATAAGGAGACTATAATGAGATCGATTGCTATCTGACTTCTTCACATAGAGATTGTGTTCGTTAAGGCTTCTTGTATAACCAAGCTTGCATAAATATTCATTAATTCAGCTATACCAAGGTCGAGAAGCATGCTTCAAACCATACAAAGCCTTCTTCAGAAGATAGACTTTGTCTTCGCCCCCTTTATCTGTAGAGCCTTCTGGTCGCTCCACATAAATTTCTTTGTCCAAGTAGTCATTTAAGAAGGCTAACTTGACATCTAACTGGTATATCTTTCATTTGAATTGAGTTGCTAACGCGATGAAGATCTGATTGTGACATGTCTCATAACTGGAGTCAACGCATCCGAAAAGTCTACTCCATATTGTTGAGTGTAGCCCTTGGCTACTAATCAAGCTTTGTATTTGTTGATTGATCCATCAGGATTCAATTTTGTCTTGAAGATCCATTTAACTTAGATGACCTTTCGATCTAATGGTCGATCAGCCAACTTCTAGGTTTTCATTTTTCTCAATCATATTCAGCTCCTCCTTCATCGTAACTCTCCATTCTTTTGACTTCTCAACTTCAGTATAGCTCGTAGGCTCCAATATGACTATATTGCACCTCTCATATACTTTAGCTAGAGGCCTGGTCCTTCTAACTGATAGCTCTTCATCAATATCTAAATCTTCTTTAGCTTAATTAAAGTCGTTAGCGACCTCTCTCTGCTGAGGCCTTGTTTCTTCTTCGACCCTTTTTTCTTTTCAATTCCAAACTAACATCTCATCAACTCTGACATCTCTTTAGATCAGAATCTTGTTCATGTTTGGATTGAAGACTCTATAGGCCTTTGATTGGCTACTAGAGAATACAAAGGCAAAAACGCAAGGATATTCTCATAGATAAGTTTTTCAGAGAATGTTTGCTAAGTGTTTTTCGTTTCAATTGTCTTGTCTTGTCTGCTTTTCATTAATCATAAAAAAAAGCTTATATTTAAGTTGATTACATCATCATATAAATCACAGACATGCTAACTTTGCTAAGCATTAAATGCTAACCTAATCTACAAAGATATTTACAAGAGATTATCACAAAGCCATACATTCTTACTTAACACAAAATCTGTTAGACTTAACACCCCTAAAAGTCAGGTCACAAAGCTAATGCAATCTTTTCAATCATGTATGTCATGATTAGCACAAGACCTGAGCTCTCTTTTGCAATCTCCCTCCTAAGTATATTCATGTCAAACCCTGGTTTTGAACATTGGCTTGCCCTTAAAAGGCTGCTTAGGTACATTAATAGCTCCTTGAATGTTGGTTTGGAATATTGTAAAAGATATGACTCACTTGATCTTGTAGGCTTTGTAGATTCTGATTTTGCAGGTGACAAAAATACAAAGAAGTCAACCACAACATACTTCTTTACTTTGGGAGGAAATTGTGTGAGTTGGAAGTCTCAGCTTCAACCAATTGTTGCTCTATCCTCAACTGAGGTTGAGTATGTGACTGTGGCTGACATCTTCAAAGAGGCTTTATGGCTTCAAGGGTTGTTAACAAAGGTTGAGCTACTTGATAGGGCAGTCACTATCTATTCAGACAAACAAAGTGTCATACATTTGAGCAAAAATCTAGTCTACCACGAAAGGACCGAGCATGTAGATGTGAGATATCATTTTGTGAGAGATCTTGTGGATAAATGTGTGATCAATCTGAAAAAGGTGGCAACAGAAGACAATCCTGCAGATATGGGAACAAAAGTGGTCACCCCAACTAAGTTCAAGCACTGCTTGAACCTGCTGCATGTCAAGTGACCATCAGCAACAGAGCTGTGAAGAGTTACTTGTGGGTAAGCTGCACTAGTGAGTTTTTGTTGGAACTTATGGTGTTTTAAAGCTTCAAGGTGGAGATTGTTGAGTGAAGCTTTAAAACAAATCTACCTATACACTGCCATTTTGAAGACCATTCAAGTATTGCCTTTGATTTCAGTCTGATCTAACGATCCTTTGTAGTCCAGCAAGTCAAACTATAAAATAAGAGAAGATTGACAGATTTGAACAGTGTACTTCATTCCTCTTTCGCAATAACATTGCTCTGCTAGGGTTCTTCATTTGGGTTTTCTCAAAACTTGTAATCGAGTCACAATCTTTGTAATTGTGGGTAGAAGAATAGGGTTTTTTCGGGGTAGAGAGGCTAGGTTTAGTTTCTCTCTAGGATTTACGATTACGGGTTGATTTGAGGGACTATTGTGAGTGAGAAATTCAGATATCAAGTGAGTTAGTTTGTAATCTTGTACATTCTTGATCCTTACAGTGCAACGAGCCCCAAATTACTTGGAGCTCAATGTGAATGTAGCTTATTCTATTGGAATAAGTAAATCACGGTAAAAATCTTTGTGTTTTGCATAGTATAAGAATAATGCAGGCACAAACAATAATTAATAACTTAACTCAATAGACTCAATCTCTTTAAATGATTTATGAGTTAGTAATATATCAAATTTCTGAGACTATCTCCTTCTCTTTTCTTGTGCTTCTTGACCACTAATCTTATCTTGTAATTTGCTTTCACCTTTAATTTGGTGGTTCCACCTGATAACTACATCATTTGTATCTAATATTTTACTTATATAACAATTGCATTTTATGCTTTTATATGAGTGCAGGAAAATCAAAGAATGAGAAGACAACTGATATGCATGCAATGGCACATTTTGACCTTTTTCCGAAGATGAACGCTTTCAATAATCTTACATTCTCCCTTATCTTGTTCTCTATTCAAACCAAGATGTTTGATCAAATCATATCTTGACTTCAAGAAGGAAGATATATATTAACAGAAAGATTTTATGCACAGTTTTTTGTTAGTCATTCAAATGCTTGCAAACATCTAACAAGTCTATCCTTTTGCTGATCCATGATCCTCAATCAACAGAGGCATACAACTTGCAGAAACATTGAAACTACAACTAGATGTCCAGAAGCTCCTAAATGAACAATTGGAGGTACTTTTTTTCCATTGTTCGCCAAAATTATTTAAAGAATTGATATATACCATTTATATACTATATATAACCTCTATGTTTCACTTCTCTGGTTTAGGTCCAAAGAAATCTACAATTGCAGATTGAAGAACAAGGAAGGCAGCTCAAAGAGATGCTAAACTAGCAACTAAATGCAAACAAGTCTCTTATTGGTATTCATCGCAGCTTTGATATTGAAGGATAATCCTCCAAATTAACTTAAAGATATGTGCCTTTGATATGGCAGATTTCAATGATACCCACAGCACTTCCAAAATAGTATATCATAAATATTGCCAGTGTACATCATTCTGTCGCCGGATTTATGGGAAGGGGGATTCAGACAATAAGGTTCTTCAACAAATTTAATTTTTCTAAGAGACAAAGAGTAATGAAATAATTAGGTCCAAGCATACAGTTACATATGTTTTGTTTCTTTAGTGTATATTTTCACTTTTAAAAGCAGATCAGTATTGCAGGTTTGTATTTTGAGTATGTTTTAAGAAAATAGCGATTAAATCAAAGAGATGAAATTTTTATCTCCAGTTAGCACTTGAGAATTGACTTGGGAAACATTCCTGAGAAGTCCCTTGTTCCAATAATTTAAGTACTCTATTAGCAAATACCTGATCATCAGCATTGAATATGCCCTTTTTACTGCTACTTTCAATCAAAGCAAATATCACACAACGCATTTTTTTTCTTAAATCACGACTGGTCTTCTTCTAAAGCGTTATGGTTTCAGAGAATCATTGAGTTAACAACCAGGTTTCAATTTCATAATTAATTTAGAATTTATCAATTAACTTGGTCAGCCCTCTGGCTCGCCCAATCATGGCATATGCATTTGGAAGCAGGTTCTGGACAAATTTGCAATCAACAGAACGTTTATTTAACTCATTTGGATGCTCTCCTTATTTTATTTTTCCTAAAATTCCAATTGAAACCAACTCAGAGGATAGATCTCTATCAAAATTATATTTTGAGCACATCAATGAAAGAAACATCGAGCCTCCGATTGAAAAAGTTGTGCATATACTCTGCAAAAGCGAGGGTTTTGTATAGGGGTGGATCTCCTGAGATGGTAAGCTCTTTGGCAGGTCCAATATTGAAAGATGTGTTAGGATAACAGAATATAACAATTGACTGTCTCTCCTTTAATCTGTTCACAACCGCTCTATGATCTGGTGCTTTGTAAATGCCGTTGCTCATAATTGCACATTTCACCAAACAGATTATCAATCAAACGCTCAACAAACCTGTATGATCTGTGTGACTTCTCAGGTTAAATGTTACATACCTCTGTGATGTGGCCTAGGTTTACCACAATAGCACCATGTTTAGGTAAAACAGTGACCCATTGTCCATCTTTCAGAGCCTGTAATCTTGGCATGTCACCGCACTCAAGCAAGAGAGTTATTCCACTGATATCAGCATGTGGCAAAATGCCAATCACTAGCTCAGATTCAGGACAAGGAGGGTACAGATTCATCCTCACTTCATATGTTCCTTCTTGGTTAGCCCTGGAGATTTCTTCATGAGTCTCAATTTCAAGTGCCATAGCTATGAACGTTGCTAAAGAAATCGCCACTTTCCTCATATCTTCAGAATAAGTCTCTAATGTTTCTCTATAATATACAAAACTAGTTTGTTATCTGTGAGCTCAACAAAAGAACAGTTACTGTAATGTAGTAAAGATAGTGTAAAGACCTGAATTTCTGGGGTTTTTGAGGCCATAAATTCTGGTTTCTGATTGAAGGGGGAAGAGTTTTGAGGAAGAGCATATCATTCCACTCTAGCTTTTGTTGTGGTGAAGTAACAAAAGCTTGGCCATAACCTTCAAGGCTTCCTGGTTTCTGTGCCCATCGTTTCTTTTCTTGTAAAGGAAGAGCAAAGAATTCTTGAGCTTGCTCCTTCATGTTTCTCAGCAGTTCATCAGAAACTTCTTGGTTTATCAACTGCACAATCATATGGAAGTACTAAGTAATAACCAAAGCATTAAACATTTAATATTTTAATCAATCTTTAGATCATAATCTCTCAATTCATTAGCCGAAAAGATAATAATGGTATTAACAAATCATCTGTTAAACATTAATAATGTTGCACTGCTCTAATTTAAAATTGTTATATCATGATCTTAGCCATTATATATAGTGAAATTCTGATTTTGTGGTCATCCGGGTACTTTTTGATGAATGTATATATCAATCAGATTAGGTTGCGGTTAAGATACGGTGGTTGGAGATCCACCTTTCAACTTTTTTGTACTTTGCTGCTGTTGCACTTCTAAAGTTAATTAAATATGGTCAATTGGGATTCTGTTACTGCAAAGGAATCTTAATCAAAATTACTTTCATTAGCACTTTAACTAAAATTATGTGAACTGAGAGTAATAAACAATAATACATACATAGACGCAAGTGATGAAGGTGGAAACAAAGAAGTTTTTTAACTTGGGTTTAATCTGCAAATTAAGAAAACGCAGCTACCTATACAGAAGTAGTTTTGAGTGATATTGCACAAACAAGCTTGAACTGGAAAACATCCTGAACAAAATAGGAAGGAATACCTGGAAAACACCCCCGTCTTTGCATGCAGAGAGTGTAAGTTTTATAGCTCAGTCTCTCGGGAATCAGGGTTGATGAGTTTGCTCTGTATTCCAGATGGAACGTTATCACTGATGTCGATGCCATCCATATCATCTCTTATGTACCTAAGTGGCACTGCTTCACCCTCCTGAAACTGGAAGAAACCATTCCAGGTTTTCTATTTCACATTTCTCACCCATCATATTTATAAAAAAGTTATGAGATTTTTATCATAAATACCCCTGACGTTTGCCAAATTGACAGTTAGGTTCAGAGTTTGTGGACCTAATTGTCAATTTCGAAAACGTTAGGGGAACTAAGTTAATCCAAATAAATATTATAATGGATCACACAGAATAAACGGACCTCAAAACCAACACAAAATAACAAAACACACCACCCACTTTATGAATCACTTTCAAGTCCGTGTTTTTTTTCTTTTTTTTTTTAATAATTTTTAATTAACACTCTTAGCTCGAAGCTTAGCAGGCCTCCTTCCGACTAACAACAAAATTTGGATACTCGAAACTCACAGTTTTCCACCCGCTTTCTGATTTTAACTCTATTCGATTCAAATCTTAACGTCTCACCAATCACCCTCTTCTTCTTCTTCTCATCAATTTCTTTAATTTTTCGGATTTCCTTCGTTTTCTGCAATAAAAAAGTCGTCGTTTTCCTACAAAACTGGCTATGGACTACGAGCCTTACGACAGCAGTGGTTAGTTCACTCTCAAACATCAAATCTTTGTCTTTTTTATTCTTCTTTTTATCTTTGTTATGGGGTTTGAGTTTTTCACTGAATTAATTTTTTATTAGGGTTTTGGTTTTCTTATGTTTTCGCTCGGTTTTTTGTTTCTTTTTTTTTCATATTGGAATATTTACCAGCTTATAATTCTTTTAGAAGGAATTTTCGGTTCTTCTAGTGTGTTTGTGATTTCAGGTTGTGATTGACAGTGGGTAGTATTCAGAATTGGTAAATTTAGGGTTTTTAGCTGTAATAGATTTGGGATATTTAGGGTTTCTTTCGTGTTGAAAGTTTCAAGTTTTTCTATTTATTATGAATTTGATGCAGTTTTTAGTGTGCGGAGAGATCAAAGAAATAAACATGTCATTGAAGTTGCAATTCAAACTTTGGTTTTAAGCTGTAATATAACATGTGATGTTTGTTATGGGAATTTGGTTCGAGGTTGTTCTTTTAGGGGTTTTCTGCTGTAATTAGTTTGTGATTAGAATGAGTAATCACTATGGGAAATTTAGCTCTAGTTGTTTGATTTGATTTGCCTTGTGCAACATTGTTGTATTATTGAAGAAATAAATGGAGGCTGGAGAGACATGGCTTAATTGATGTAACTCTTAATATTGCTAACTTCGTCTGGGGACACTTCTTATTTTTATTTTTATTTTGGAGCCAATGGCATAAACAAATGTATATTGATTGTTTCTTGAGAGATAACTTTAACTATGGAAATCGGCTACTTATAATGTCACTGGCTGAACATTCTCTTTGTCTGGAAAATTTTGAATTAATTATGTATTTTAGTATATTTGGGAATTAATAGTTTTCTAGAACCATCATGTCATCAAGCAAGATTACTTTATTCTTTAACATTCTAATGAATGTAATAATATATTTAAAAAAAAAAATTGATATCTTGGCAAATTACTTTTTCTTTCCTTTTCTTTTCTTCTCTTCTCTTGTGTATGTGTGATTAAAATGTGTTCACTCTGAATCTATTGCAGGAACTGATGATGACCTTCCACCATCACATCAGAATAGAATCCCTAGAGGAGGACGTGTTGCAGGGAATGGAAGACCTCCTGTGGGTTCTGTCCCATATCCTAGAATGTATGGTGACACTGATATGGAGACTCAAATTCATCAACTTGAGCAAGAAGCATATAGTTCAGTTCTGAGAGCCTTTAAAGCTCAAGCTGATGCCATTACTTGGGTACTTAAAAGTCTTTTTGTTTTCATGATTCTAATATCCTTAAATTTGTTTGATCAGGTTTAAATGACTGCTACATGAAATGTGTTTTCTTCAGGAGAAGGAAAGTTTGATAACAGAACTGAGAAAAGAGTTGAGATTATCGAATGAGGAGCACCGAGAGCTTCTTGGCAGGGTCAATGCAGATGACACAATACGAAGAATAAGGTCTGATAAGAGTTCAGAATCAAAGTTTGTTTATTTAAGTTGTTTTCAGATTTTGCCAAGGTTAGTGTCTTTTTGTGTATGAATGGGTCTATGTTGGGGAATGCTTCAGGGAGTGGAGACAGGCAGGTGGGCTTCAACCTGGCATGCACAATATTGCTCAAGCTGTTCATGATCCAACACCTAGTCCAACTGTCTCTGCATCTCATAAGAGACAAAAAATAAACCAGTCAGTACCTTCTCAATCTTTTGGTGGGCCATCACAATCATTTCACCCACAAACAGTTACTGCATCCCACCAACCATCTTCATCAGCTGTTAAACGAGGACCAGTATCAGGATCCAAGGGCAAGAAACATAAACCCGTGAGTTAAAATTTATCAACCTTGGAGTAAAACATAAAACATATCATGTGGTTTGTTTATGTTTTGTATCTAATTTTAATAGGGATTACCTGGTGTATCGTCAATGAAGTCCATGCAATACCCATCATCTGGTCCTGCTGGGAGGGGGCAAGTTGCTAATAGGGCATCTACAGGGGCTGCTCTTGTAGGTGAGCCCACTGAAGGAGCAACATTTGATCCATTGATTGGTAAGAGAGTCAGGACCCGGTGGCCTGATGACAATAACTTCTATGAAGCTGTTATAACTGACTACAACCCAGTTGAGGTATGCATTACACTTAGTCACAAGTGAAACAAGTCTATTGTGGATCTGTGGCTGACTTTTTTCCTTAATCTTGTTAGGGACGACATGCACTAGTCTATGACATTGGTACTGCAAATGAGACCTGGGAATGGGTTAATCTTTCAGAGGTACACGTGGTGGCTTTGTTACTCTGCTAAAGTGCCTTTTTGTTGCATAGTTCTCTTGTTTATTGTGCTTCTATATTATGAATTTGACCTTTTAAACAATTTTTTTAAGAGGCTGCTAGTCTTTAGTTATTTTTTATTTTATTTTTTTTTTAAATACGGTCATTTTATTTTTAATTGTTAGTTAGAAGCACTTACATGGAATAGATTTTCGGATATTAAAGTTTCTGAGGAGGCACCAGCTTAACAATTCTGTTTAAAAGATTTTTCTTAAGATTTAACTTCCAATTGATTATACACTTCACATGCATAATAAATCTAGTTTAGGTCTTTATTTGTGCTAGTACTGGAACATAAATGCTTATATGAGTTGTCTATTTTGGATGATCAAGTTAAAACAAGCATCTTGCCACTTTCTTTCTGAAGTTGTAACCAGTGAAATCTAGCCACTTAAACTATGAAGCTAAATATGTCCCAGATATATATAAAGTATACAGCTCTATCCCTATCAATTGGAAAGTTTTATTGCCAGGATACAGCAAGGTTTCTTCAGAAATTGCAGACTTATTCTTAAAAATATAGTTTTGAGGATATGAAATAGAAAACATCACTAAACATGCGTCAGGGTTCAATAGTTTGATTCAAGGATGAATATTATTTAGAGTTTTCAACATTATATAGAATACTAGTTCTAGGAGCATTCTATTTTAATTGTATTGGTCTGGTCTTCTAATTGCAGATCTCCCCTGAGGATATCCAATGGGAAGGTGAGGATCCTGGAATTTCTCATCGAGGAGGTTATGCTGGACCAGGTCATGGGATGAATAGAACTGTAGGTCGTGATAGTGTTTCAGGTGCTGGAAGAGGTAGAGGTGTCCCAAAAGGTCAATCTAGAAAAGATTTTATGCCATCACAGAATGGCATTGGAAAGAAGGCACCAGATGACATACAAATACGTCACACTGCTAGTTTAATTAAGGAGGTAAGTGAAAATTGGATGATCTATATCAGTTGTCAATCTCTTGGTTTTCGGGTATGTATATTTATTTTTTCTGCTAAGTTTTGGACAGGTGGAGAGAGTCTTTGGTACAAATCATCCTGATCCAGTTGAGGTTGAAAAGGCAAAGAGAGTGTTGAAGGTTAGAAGAGAAAGAAACTATGTCTCCTTTTTTCCCCTTAAATGCCTGTGACATTCTTTTTAGATCAAATGCATCAATAACTTTATAATTTTTTAAATTTCAGGAGCAAGAACAAGCACTTATTGATGCAATTGCAAGGCTTGCTGACATTTCTGATGGTGAAAGTGGTACTTCATTTCCCTTCTTGCATTTTTTTAGAGCTTCCCGTGGCCAGCTAATTTTGGAAATGTCAATTTTATTAGGGCATAAGTCTTTGTCGGATTTTGTATGGTTCATATATTTTGCTATAATATTTTATCACAATTGCGCATTCCCTAGAGTGGAGCTGATATATTATTTATTGACTTGGGACTTTAGTAGTTAGTAATTATCATTGGTTTGCACTTGGAAAGAAAGTAGAATTGTTTTGTTAGATGTAGGTTAGGCAGCATGTCCCTGAGTCCTAAGAGTTGGTCTTCAGATGAAACAATAAAGAGAATGAACCAAAATAAATAAAAAGGAAAGCAAAGGAGTGATGCTTATCCACTTGACATCCACTGTATTTGTGGACTTAATGAACTATTTCATTTATTGTAAATTTTTATATACTCAATTATTCTATTTTGATGTCTTAAGAATTGTTAAAGGGTACCATGATTGCCCAAGGTTTCGTAATATGTGAAAACACAATGCTTTTATTTCCTGAAATTTCCCATCATTTTCATCATTCCCAAAACTGTAAATGTTGATATTATATATGATGGGGAAACTAATATTCTCCTTTTGTAGAGATGCTTATAAGTTGGTTGAGATCTGGAAAAAATGATTTTTTTTTTTTTTTTTAAAATTAAATAAACTTATCCCATTTCTTGATGGTCTGATGTTGGTACTTTTGCCTTAAAACAGATGAGGGTGGTCGTCAGTTCTCACGCGGACATTCAATGGGAGAATGATAGAGAAAATGTTTTTGTTAGGAAGCAGCATAGCTTACTAGCTTTATACTTGGGAAGATGAGATGGGTGGAGGAGGAGGATACTTACAGGGCAATAAGATGGATAGAGATTAATGGTTGAGAAGTGGAACAGAGACTGCGTCTGATTTCTAGGTCAATTTATTGTATAATGTTATTTTCTAATTCTATTAGCCTCCACATGGTATATGTGTGGGCTTGTGGCTACTGGTAGGTATAACTGTAAGATGGGAATTATTTATGGTAGCTGAGTGCTAATTTTCTTTGATAGTCAGTTTAGAAAGGCTGGTGTTTGTGTAACATTATTAGTGATTAATCTGTTGTGATCAATTCATGTATAAAATTTTGTTTTATTGCTGGTTTTATAATTATCTGTTCTTGTAGCATTCCCTTTCTCACTCAAATGAGGATTGATTTTTGGAGTTAATGAAAAATAAGGAAAGTTCTATCTTTTGTCTTTGTCAATCAGAGTTTGTAGAAAGTGAAATTTCTTTTTTGAAAAGCTGATAGAGAGGGGTTAGAGTGAAATTATTAACTCTGTATTGTAAGAAACAAATTGGCCTATTCCGAGGATGGACATAGTTGATAACATAGATGGCCCCTTAAAACTAAAAGAATGTTAAACGTGGGATGGTTCACTGATTCTAGTCATATCCCATTACTTCAATTGATGAGTCACTTTTCATCCTGTCCCCATCAATGTCTGGTTCTTGTAGCTGACAACAGTATTGATGCTAAGAATTTAGAACAATATGTTAGCAAATTGTACACTTTTCTATGGTCGGAAAGTGAAGATCAATGGAGCCACTTTAGCACCAGGTAGCCCCCATTGATCACTGCTAGTAAATGAGTGTCTTTTCTTTTGACCGAGAGCAAAAATAAATGGAGCTTACACCAAACCAAGCGAGACTTCGTTAATTCATACATTGGAATGGATATCGTATTCCTATTGCCCACTAAGAGTAAATGTTCAAACTAATGCTCATGGGCCCTACTTTTCTTGTTCAAAATGATCATCATGGTCATTGGCCTGCCTCCATCTTTTAATTGTTTAAAAATCAGAAACTCTCTATATCCAATCAATGATCCAGGATTTTTCTAATTCGCACTTAAGAGTTGACTTGTGCTTTAAACAAAGTAAGTACCCATTTCTTTTTGTTATCTATGAACTTTGACTCCTGCAATATTGCACTGTTTTGGCTTTTCCTTCATCTCCTCTGCTTGAGTAAAGGTGCTTCATGGATTTCTAGATTAACATGAAGCATACTGACGTGGCGGTTGTTTTCGAGTGTTTGAACTAAAATACCAATATGTTAACATATGTTCTTGGCCTTTTCTTTGCTCTTTGATGTCTTATTTCATGCTTCTACTGACGATGATACACGTTTTTGGTTAGAAAAAAGGGTTATGTAACCCTCCCGATGTACTACAAGAGACGAAAGTACAGAAGCTCTTGTAACCGCTATTTTCACTTCTTCTATAAATACAAACAACCCAACTAAGCACTTGTCTGTTCTGATCAATGGCATCTCTTCAGTGCCTTAATGCATCCAAGTTCAATATGAGAAGATATGTTGTAAAATTCAAAGCAAGTAACAGTGTAAGTTCAAATGAAGAAAAGAAGCTGAGGATATTGATTGCTGGTGGAGGTATTGGGGGTTTAGTATTGGCATTGGCAGCTAAAAATAGAGGGTACGATGTAAAGGTGTTTGAGAGAGATTTGAGTGCAGTGAGAGGAGAGGGTAGCCACCGTGGCCCTATTCAACTTTCGAGTAGTGCCTTGGCAGTGTTGCAAGCTATTGATCAAAATGTTGCCAACCGAATTATGGAAGCTGGTTGTGTTACTGGTGATAGGATCAATGGCGTTGCTGATGGCATCTCTGGTCAATGGTATGCCTCTCTTCAACTGCTATCTTTATATTTTACCAAACCATTCATTTTTCTGTAGAAAAGATTGTAAGTTTCAAGCTTCAATCATATATAGAATTAGGAATCAAAGCTGGATAGGCTGATCAAAGATGCTGCTTATCCTGTGACTTATTGTCCTGTGTGTAGGAGCCTTAGAAGAGTACTGAAATGTCCATGGTCTAGATCGAACCTTGAATCACTTCGCTTCAAACCCCTAACTTGTTCTACAGTCACCTCAAATTTCATGGCAACATTTTGAGGCTTACACATGATAAATTCAGCTTGGTTTGCATAGTGTAATTAAGCAGCTGAAAGCTGATATCCATGTAGATGGTTTCAGGGCAACCTTTGTGAGGCTTGATCAAGGTGTTTTTACAATTGGTAAACAAACTGCTGAATTTGGAATCTTGGAATGTAATTCAAAGCATCAAAGAGAAATTTTAATACATCATATTTTCTTCTCAATACAATTTATGATGGAGTATCATCTTTCCCATTAATATTGTTTGAAGCTTGTTAATGAATGCAGAAAACATAATTTGCGTAAGGAAGGACAATCTTTTATTACATTTTTTCTTCTTTTCATTTCAGGTTCACCAAGTTTGATCTTCTGACTCCAGCTTTGAAGAGGAGCCTTCCAATCACTCGAACAATATGCAGGATGGAACTGCAAGACATATTAGTCAATAGTGTTGGTTATGATATATTGAGTAACAAATCTAAAGTTGTGAACTTTGTAGAAGACTCTGACAAGGTTTGGAGTTTCATAAATTATAGAAGCACCTCTTTATGAATTGAATTTAACATTCAACATATAATATCAGGTCACTGTAATCCTTGAGGATGGACGGCAGTATGATGGCGATATTTTGGTTGGTGCAGATGGAATATGGTCAGAAGTAGGCTCTTTCCCTTATTGCTATTCTTCTCTATATGTCAACAGAGTGTCCGCTTCGTACAGGCTACTGCTTGACTTCCAAATTCTTGTTTTTACAATGCAAAGGTGCGTATGAAACTCTTCGGGAAGCAAGAAGCAAGATATTCAGGCTATACATGCTACAGTGGGATAACAAATATTGTGCCNATGAATCGAATTTAACATTCAACATATAATATTAGGTCACTGTAATCCTTGAGGATGGACGGCAGTATGATGGCGATATTTTGGTTGGTGCAGATGGAATATGGTCAGAAGTAGGCTCTTTCCCTTATTGCTATTCTTCTCTATATGTCAACAGCCTACTGCTTGACTTCCAAATTCTTGTTTTTACAATGCAAAGGTGCGTATGAAACTCTTCGGGAAGCAAGAAGCAAGATATTCAGGCTATACATGCTACAGTGGGATAACAAATATTGTGCCACAGTACATCAATTCTGTTGGGTATGTTTGGCTGTACTTTAATCAAAATTAGAGATGTACAGTTTTACTGTAATGTTCAATGTGCTTAAATTGCTGTCTGGTTTTTAGGTATCGAGTGTTCATAGGATTGAACCAGTACTTTGTTGCTTCAGATGTTGGAAACGGGAAGATGCAATGGTATGCCTTTTATAAGCAACCACCTATGAAGACAGATCCTCCTGGAGGCAAGTTGATTTCGAAAAAGTTACGTGTGTGTGTTTGCTAATTAAGTTTTTCCTTAATCTTTCGTTAGAGTAAATGATGCAGGTAAACATAAGAGGCTGCTTGAATTGTTTGGACACTGGTGTGATGAAGTAGTTACTTTAATTACGAAGACAATGGAGGATAAGATTTTAGGGAGAGACATATATGATAGAGACATGATGAGTAGATGGGGTGTTGGACGTGTGACTTTGCTTGGTGATGCTGCTCATCCAATGCAGCCAAATCTTGGGCAAGGTGGTTGTATGGCTATCGAGGTATGATTGTTGGTTACAAAATTCAACAACTCTTTTATCTGTTTCTCATACTTTTGTAGAATGATACGTGCAGGATTGTTACCAACTGGTACTTGAGCTTGATAAAATTGTGAAAACAGGTTCAGAAGAAATTGTCTCAGCCCTTACAAGGTATATTCTATTTTTAGGGCCATAGCTGAAAACTTAAACTAATCTCAGACATTTTTTTTCTTTAAGTTATGAGAAGAAAAGAAGGTTTCGAGTGAGTATTGTGCACGCTGCAAGTAGAATGGCATCAAAAATGCTATCCACTTACCGACCTTACATAGAATTTGGATCAGGTCCTATCTCTGTAAGTATCTAACCAACATGTTTCTTTCTTCAATCTCATGCTTTGATTCATTTATTTTAAGATTGTGGCATCTGATGATGGTACCAATACAGAGGATAACAAACCCTACACTTCACATAGCACGTGCCTTTTTGCAGTTGTGTTTGCCTCTGTTCATGACTTGGATTATAGCTGCTCCATGGCTATGGGTATGTCAGATTTTATCCACCAACTTCCACTCAACATTAGGTTGTCTTTTTACACATAAAAAGTAAAAATGTCTCTCTGTGCAGGTTGTGGTGAAAGAGGAAAAGAAGCAGTTGAAGTGATAATATCATTCTGTTCTGCCAACATTTGTATTAAAGCCTTGGCAGGCCAAGAAAACTGAGTTTTATGTATTGAACTGTAATCTCAGGTCAGCCTGAGCTTGTTAAATGACAATAATAAGGGTAAAAGAATTAATTAGATAGATACGTGAAATAGTACATTGTTAGAAATAAATCAATAGCGTTATGACTACTGCTACTGCTAACAATACAATAAATATGCACAACCAAATCCACATATCAGTCATCACTTTCACCTCCTAGCCCTCTTACTTTGGCGCTTCCCTACCACTGTCTCCTTTCCACCACCTTCTCTTCCACGCTTCCCACTTGTCTCTGCCGTCTTCTTTGGTGGTCTCCCAACACTTCTCTTTGAAGGACTATTTTCCTCCTTTGCTGATTGTCTTTTCTCACCACTTCTCCACAACGCCCTTCCTTTCCCTTTATCTTTCTTTCCACTACTACTACTACTACTATTACTACTACTACTACTATTATTATTATTATTATTATTCTTTTTCTGCTCTTCACTTCCTTTACTTTTCTTCACTGTCTGCACTGGAGAGTTTTTCTTGATTCTTTTCAAGAAATCCACCACACTTTTCTTTTTATCCGATGTGCTTGATCCCTCACTCTTCTTCTTATCTGCTTTCGGAGTTTCTTGTTTATCAACAGAACCTGAACCTGAACCAGCTTTTGAACCTGAGGTGGCGTTTTGTTTTTTGTTACTAGGCGAAGAAGTGGTAGTATTGGTTGTTGGATTTCTGTTGCTTCTTCTGGAGCTTCTTGCACCAGTCGTTACAGCTTTCTCTTCTGTTTTGACCTTCAACAAGCTGCTGCTTCGTTCTACAGAGGGCTGCTTTATATCAGCAGGCGGCTTCTTGTCTTCAGTTTGTTGTTGTTGTTGTCGAGCAAATGTAGAAGAAGTGGAAGGTTTAGTAGAAACAGAACTGCGTTTACGACAGACAATAATGGGAGTAGATTGTTTATGTTTAGCAAGCAATGAATCAGATCTTTCAAGGTGGGGTTTCAACTGTGGTGGTAACGGAGCAGGAGCAGGAGCAGGTGGTAGTAGTGGGTCTTGTGAAGAATCAGACTTGTAATTTTCTTTCTTAATCTCATTAGAGAAAAGATTACGAAGCTGAAAAGCAGTGGCAGATTCAAGGGAAGATTTGGGGAAGTAAAGAATGGCATTGTTGAAAAGAAGCAAGACATCTCTATAGAAGGTAAGAATGCATGAAGAATAAGAGCCTTGTTCAACTCTGGTTTGTATTGTTTCAAGATCCACGTGCTGTCTCACAATCTCTTTGTACTGATTGGACTCCTGCAAACCCAAATTCAATGGACTTCGTCATTCCAAATGGTTGGGCTTTCGCCCTCAATCATCACACATATTCAGACACGAACCATTTGCAGTCCTTTTGGTCCACCTTTACCATTAGACTATCCATGAAATATTTTATATGTATATAACTATATTATTGAATTACATAGTCACATCACATGAATAATTTGAAGGAAAAATTGAATTAGATGGGTGAATAATGTTATGGCAACAAAAAAAAAAAAAAAAGGTGGTCCCAAATAATTGGACGTAATATGAGATGAAAACTTGACCAATTGCTGGATAACTATACAAAAAATTTAATAAAATAAATACCTGGCTTTTGAGCCGACGCTCAAATAAGGATACATGTTTGTGGGTCCTAATCAACTCCAACAACCTAATCGGCGGTTCTGATTTCACATCCATTCCCTTGATGCTATCACCGCAACTCCCTTTTCTTTTTTTCCCAAAACTCGCTGAGCTCTGCACATCACTACTCAACTGAGTCACCGAGTCGCCCAACTCGTCCGATTCCACTGCCTTCGACCCTCCTACCCCTCCGGATCCAATCGCTTTCGCTTCATTCTTTATAATCTCACCGTCTCCGATTTTCTCGCTCAATCCCGTCGAATTTGATTCATTCACCGACCGGTTTTCTCTGTCGGACTCTTCACCGGAAACTAAGCGTTTGCACGCTTTCTCCGGTTCTTCCGATTTATCCGGTTCATCGTTTTTATCGATATTCTGGTCGTCGAGATCTGGCTTCTGTTGAGTAGTTTTAATATCTAAAGCCGGCTCTCGCTCTTCTTCCAATCTCTTAACTTTAAGCTGCAAGGAACTGTTAAAGAAGAGTTTATCAGATCTAAATAAAAATAAAAAAATAGAAAAGCAAAGGAGAGAAGATTAGTTTGATTTACAGTATGTTAAGATCGTAACGTTGAACTTCTTGTTTCAACTCGTCGACACGAACCTTGCGAAGCTCTTCAAGCCAAGGAATACTAACGAGTTTAGCAGGTGGTTCGGGTTCGTGTTCGTGTTCGTGTTGTTCGTCTTTGAATCGACGTTTAAGGTCGTGATATTTTTGCTTGCAGCATTGAGCGGTGGTTAGAAGGTGAGGAAGAGAGGTCTTAGTTTGAAGTTCCATGGCAACAGATTCCCAGTTCTTTAAGCCATGGCGTTTGACAGCAGATGCTAGCAAAAGCTCCTCCCAAGTCCCCCATGTTTTTGCATCGTTTTTGTTTTCTTCATCAGTCTTCTTCATCATCAGTTCACAGACGAAATATAATTTTGTTTATGGGTTTGGGTTTGGGTTCGTATATAAGTAAATAAATACTTGTTTAGTTATGTCATCCCTCCATCTCCTTATTTTGAAAAATACAATAGGATTAGGGTTTTGAATTATATAGTAATAATATAGCTATGATTTGTGAGAGTTATTTACCTTTTTGTCCTCCTAAATTATTCAACATCAACTCGTTTGGATTGTCCCTCCGATTCCACTTGTTATAATCTTTGGTAAAGGTTAGGTCTTAGGTTAGGCTTAGGCATCTACACGTTTCTCTTTTCCTAAAAGTAAAAGACATCCATAAGTTCTACATAAACATGGGTATATCAGAACCCAACACTTTTTTTATTACTCAAAAGTAAAAGTATGGTGAAATACAAACAAGAGAAATGATAGTCAACACCTTCTCCAACCTCCATCTGCAGTCCTCTCAAAAATGCGCGGCTGCTTCTTAGGAAACGATTCTCTCCAATCTGGGTGTTTCACTAAATACTTCCACTGCCTGCAAACAAACTATCAATCATAAGTTGGTCTTTCAAACATGCCCTGCAAGTATTCACACCACCAAGGTTCCAAAGATTAGACTTTTTTATCTCAGATTATCAACATTAATTTCTTACATCACCCTGCTTATAGATTATCACACTAGTCACTGGATATCCTATAGCCCCATCGCCTGTCGCAAAAGATATCCAATATGCTGAATCAAGGATTACTTCTAAACTATGCATACCTTCTTAGAGTTTCCACAAAATCAGGACCCTCAGCATAAGGTGAAGTTGAACATGAAACAAGGACTTCAGCATCAGAAAGATTTTGCAATGTCATAATAGGACGTAATTGACGTGGGGTCCTACATCAATAATAAGAAGACAACAANCAATCATAAGTTGGTCTTTCAAACATGCCCTGCAAGTATTCACACCACCAAGGTTCCAAAGACTAGACTTTTTTATCTCAGATTATCAACATTAATTTCTTACATCACCCTGCTTATAGATTATCACACTAGTCACTGGATATCCTATAGCCCCATCGCCTGTCGCAAAAGATATCCAATATGCTGAATCAAGGGTTACTTCTAAACTGTGCATATACCTTCTTAGAGTTTCCACAAAATCAGGACCCTCAGCATAAGGTGAAGTTGAACATGAAACAAGGACTTCAGCATCAGAAAGATTTTGCAATGTCATAATAGGACGTAATTGACGTGGGGTCCTACATCAATAATAAGAAGACAACAAAGAGTCTTAAATTAGCAGTCAGGTAACGAGTGAACTGCTATCAACCGTCACAAGTGCAATAAAAATAAATATAATTCGTATGCTTGTGGAGCATGTGAGAACCGACCATTATTTGCAATTACAATTACTATTTTGAGGGTGAGAAGCTTTTACCAGCAGCATGGGGCTATTACAAATCTATCAGTTTTAGTGTCATATGTCTCCAGCAGCCTGCCATTCCAACTGGTGTCCTCATACGATGAAGTTACCCTAATTCTCCTGACAATTTCATCAGGACATCTTGAAGTTCTATCAAAACTAGCTGGGACAAGAGATCCCGTTGAAGTTTCTACCTGCAAAAGTGAGAAAGATACTAGAGCCGATATTCATAATGTTGATAACATCAGTGAGTGAAAATCTATCAGCTTGATTTTTCTTGGTATAAACCTTAACTATCTTAAATCAAGTCAACAAGAGCAACATAAAAGAAAAGAATTTGAATCTCATACTAACCAAAAACCCGTGGAAAATAGGGTATGCATGTCCTTGAGAATCCCTTTTGGTGTTATGCCCAAGAACAAAAAGAGTTTGGATATGAAACTTTTCATTTCTCCTCTGCAAAGTTTCAATCAGTTTGGCACACAAAGGAGTGGAATAGCCATCCAATTCTGATGTAGAGATACCATTGGCATGCTGCATACAAACGTCAATACAGCAAACTTTAATCATTCTGCCTCTAAAAAATTAACAACAAAGTAGGGGATCTTGGGTCAGACACTGGGTGAAACATCATCAAAACCACCAATTAGATGCACCTGCATAACATGAAAAAATCAGATGTTTAAACATATGCAAACACCAATAAACCGAACATCAACATTAACAAACATTGAGATTCTGAAAGGAATACATCCAAATCAGCATTAGGGTTTCCGTCAACAACTAGTGATAACATCTGGGTGAGTCCAGTATCCACAATTTTGGGAAAATCGAAATGAGCAACAGAGGTCCTGCAATTAACATAGCAAAATTAGAAATATAGACACGAAAGAATGTAATTGACTTAGTGTATCAAAACAGATTCTTACATTCTAGTTATCCGGTTCCTAATGACAAGCCCCACACAGGTTGTTGCTTCATCTGTGCCAACATACTTTTCACGCGCACACAGACAATAATTCATAAGACATTACAGCTCTAAATCTAAATGGGTCTAATGATAAAAAGCAAATAAATTGAGCATAAGATAAAGGGAAAACATACATGAACAAGTGAAGGGTCAACAGTAGCATATTCTCTCTGGAAAACATAAACGTATTTGTTAGGTGTCGAGGTCTCCGAAAATGAGACTTTAGTCTCCTCAATAGAATTGAAAGAGCGTGCGGCAGACACCAGAATGGGGTTTTCCATTAAAGTAACAAGGGTCTCGATCCCCTGTTAATCAAAGATAAAGAATAAAGTTTGAGATTCTAAGATTGAGATGATCAAACATAATATTACAAGTTACAGAAGAGGGTACCTGAGATGAAGATGAAGATGAATCAGTAGAAAAAAAAAGCCCACCAACGAAGATCATGATTTTATTCAAGTTTTATGCTATTGAGAAACAGAAACAAAAGTAGTCCCAGTCTCTCAGTTCTTACTTCTCTAAATAAATAGAGTTATGTAATATATATATATATATATATATATATTAAAGAGAAAAAAATACAGTATTATTTATAGATTAATATAATAATCCAGTTGTAAAAATGTGATTGGGGAGAAAAAGAGCATAAAGCTTTCGGCCCTTTGATTTAATTTCTACTGCTGTGCCCTCTCTGTGTACCCACTGTTCAATTTCAAAATAACTCAAAAAAAGAACCCCAAAATTCCCCGCCACCACAACCACCATCATGTCCACCAGTAACCCTTTTTCCACCACCACCACAACAACATCAACTCCTCCACCACCACCACCACCAACACAACAACAACAACAACAACAGCAACAGCAACAACACATTTACCCAAATATAAGACCTTCAACAACACCAAATCCAAATCAGGGAATTTTATACCCAGTAGCTTCATCTGGGCGAGGGTTTATACAAAAACCGCTTCGTCCTAATTCAAATACTTCTGATCACACTGTTACTGTCGCCAATCACGCTCCCTACCCTCCTCGCCCTAATCACCTCCCACACCACCATCACCTTGTTAGGCCTCCTTTCACTCATCAACACCACATCCCTCCTATTAGGGGCATTCCCGTTTCTTCTCCCCACCCTAAGGTCATTTCCTCACTCCTTCTTTTTACCTTTTGCTTGCTCTTCACAATTTGTTCTTTTTTTTCTTTTTTAATTTTTTTTCTTTAGATATTTGATACTGCATCTCTCTTTGTGGATGGGAACGCCAGTTTATGTTTTAAATGCTTAATCTCTGTTAAATTTTTGGTGCTTCTATTAGTTAAAGTTTTGATTTTTACTTGATTATAAGGTTGTTCCATCTTCATCTCCAATGGTTGATTCTAATGGATATAAAAACTCAAGGTAATCATGTATAGTATATATCATCTTTTTGTTTTCTTCTTCTTCTTCTTCTTCTTCTTTTTATATGTTATGTAACATCGATTATGCAGTAACATTAGTAGTTCCGTCAATTTGCTCTGTGCAGGGATAGAAAAGATGAGACCAGTGCCATTATAAGAGATCGAAAAGTAACTTCACTCTTTCTTTTCTTTTTAACTATATGGTGATATTTATTTTCACTTTGCACATGTAAAAATTGAAACTTCTATTCTAGAAACAATAATATGTCTTATTTTCCTCGCTGAATCCTTTTCAATTATGTTATGATGTAGCATGAATTATGGATTTTCTTAAATGGAAACTTAAAAGGGTCATATTCATGCTGTTGATATAATGTCAATCATTTGTATATTTTTACATACCAAGCTATATTTAGTCAAAATAACTTCTGTCCCAAATCTTCCTTCTTGATAAGAGTCAGGTTCAATAGATTCATATGGCTTTTAAATGGTGTTATAGACTAACAGTTGTTGAGTCCCAAGAAGTTTTATTTGCATGTTTAAGGGGAGAGTCTTGCACTTTATAAGGAGGATAGGGTCACTCCGCTTCGCCTAATAAGCTAGTCTTTTGTGTTGAATACTTTGGCCTTCTTCAACATTTTGGGATGGAGGATGTAGTTCTCTATCTTTAGTAAACTTCCTGAGTTTTCCTAATGCGTATGGTAATGTTTGGCTTTTGCTGTGACTAGTTAAAGTAAATCATTGTTCTTGAAATAGAAGAGTGAGAAAACAAGAACAGATTTTCAAACATGAGTGGCTTTCTGGCCTTGAGGTAGCACCAGTTATGGATGGTTTGGGATAAAGTTTCCTGAGATTGTAGGTTCATTCCCAAGCCAGCAAATATTAATGACAACTGGGAAATTAAAAGTACTTAGTTTGATAGTTAAAAGTCACTCTAAAATCCCATTTAGCAATAAGTATGCTTTGGCAAAGAGTACTGGGAATAAACAATTATGTGGCTACGCTGAACCTGCTTCTTGTCTTAAGATTCTTGTTAAAAATTATGCAGGGGTTGCACCCTAGTATCTCACATCACAAGTTCACTGATGAGTAGCCACTACATTATGAATTTATGATATGAATGTCTTTCTTTGTGAAAATGCTAGAGCATACAGTATAGCATGATAGTTTGTTTTAGGATGAATGGAAATGGATAGTATATTTGATGAATGTATAAATTCCAAGAATGTAATGAGGTATATGTAACTATTATGTAGGTTAAGCTATCTTTTTATAATGATAGATATTTGGATCATCAACCCTTGTCAGAAGCTGAATGTTTCTTGTATATGTAAAGTGGTATGCATGCATTCCACGTCATGATTCATTTTACTCTTTCAAATATTTTTGCTTCTTTTTGCCTTTATTTTCTTGTCTGTATTTATTTGATTAATTGTCCATCTAATGCCAACTGTCCCTATCAACATTTTCTCTGTATCCAAAGAATATTTGAAACAGATGTTAAAATTTATGGAAGATATTATTTTGCTGTCGCAATAATATATACCATTGATCTTATAAGAAAGCCTTTTGGTTTCCTGGATTGAACTTTGAGAATTAGTTTAATATTTTCCATTGTTTATGATTCTATTCCTGATGTTACTTTTGGTTTGTACTTTTAGGTCAGAATATCAGAAGGCGCTTCTCTTTATGCACTTTGTCGATCATGGTTGAAAAATGGATTTCCCGAGGAAATTCAGGTTTGCATCATATTTGGCTGCTTTATATTTCAAAATGCATTTATGTTGTTATCTTTAGCACATTTATGCCAAGAATTCATATTGTTCAATATGGAAATCTGTTTTCGTCAATGATGTGCCCTAATTTAGATTTGGATGATGCTGCTCCTAAGGTTTCAGGTTTCCAGTTGTGAGTGAAATGTTATTTTCAGAGTTTTTAAAATTACTTTTTCCAGATTTTATGATTCTATTGATAATGATATATGGAGAATGGTGGATAGTTGTTTGAGTTGATGGTCAACTTAGAACCTCTAGTTAAACTCTTAATTGATGTTTGATTTTCAAAACTAGTCTTTAGAGAGTGGCCTTCCGTGGCTGTATCAGCTAACTAGTGTAATAAAGTATCAGCTAGAATCTCTTATTTATCTATTGCTGGTTTCAAGAGCGTGCTTGCAGTGATACTGTCCTACTATATGTTTTGCAGAGAAAAAGGAATATTGAAGTGTATACTGTTTACTTTCTCTTAATTTGGTTGCAAAATTGGATTTAAAAATTTAATACAGTAGATTACTGCAAGATTTTTCTCCATTGTTCTGTTTTTTGTTTGCCTTTTTTAATGCTGTGTTTTAATTTTATTGATAGCCGCAATATGGAGATGGTGTAAAGTCTCTCCCACGACCTCTGCCTATGCCCGTGGACTCAAATGTGGCAAAGAAAAGGGAAGGTGAAGAAGAAGAAGAAGAAGAAGAAGAGAAGGGCGATGATAAGGAAGAGGTTAGTTTTTTGTGTAAGCATTGGTGTGGACATGAATATTGATAATACTAACTGTATCACTAGTGATATTACATAATTGCTAGTACCATGACTACTCTTTTGGATATGGACCACAACTACTACTGTTATTGCTGCTCACTACTACATTCTATAAATTTCAAGAGACGTGGAAGTGTACAGTATGAGGATATGAAACAGCAAGCTGGATTAAAATTTAAGAAGCATCATATATTGAGGCTTCAAGGGCATAGGAATTGAAAACTGAGTTTGCATCTCATTTATGTTTTTAAGTTGAATAACACAATTTCTCCTCTTCAAAGTGAATTGAAATCCGTTGTTCCACTTTCAGGTTGCTCATTTATCGGAAAAAGAACTATTGAAAAGACACGTTAAACATGCTAAGAAGGTTCGAGCAAGGTGAGTTTTTATCCTAACCATCTTTTGGTTCCTTGGACGACACAGCTTTGGACCTTTATCCCCTGCTTTTACACTTGGAAGCAGATTTCCTGCCATTATTGCTTATGTGGACGGTCAATCTTGACTCAGATAAATATCTGTTTTGACTGTAGGTTAAGGGAAGAACGGGCAAAACGAATAGAGAGGTACAAAACAAGGCTGAGTCTTCTCCTTCCCCCACTAGTAGAACAGAGCCGAAATGATGGTGCAGCTGGGAACTGAAAATCTGATCCAACACTGGAGGCAATTATGCTTAGTCTTATCTTTCTGAGTACATAAGGGGTAGTTCTTTTGAGGTAGCAAAAAAAAGTGATGGTGTAGCAGACTTTGTAGGATGCTATCATTTTGGCAAAAACTGTTTTTACAAATAGAAATAGATATACAATTCTTAGGTGTCTGTAATGTTACATCAATTATCAATGTGCAGGCTTGAAACAGAGTGGCAAAATATTGATTTAGCTTTTGTATTGTAATAGACAAGTATGGAATGAGATTCTGTAACTTTAATGTTTTTCACTGCGTGAGCTATTGGCTGAGAATTTCCCTTTTTACCTCAGTCAAACTTGATGTTCCTTGTATGAAAAGGATGTTGCAGGAAACTCTACTATGCTACCCTTCATTGTTTGTTGAGCTAACTTTCTAGTAAAAGAAGAAAGTCTTTATGAGAATTTTCTAAAAGATCACAAATTCCAATCGAATTTAGATTTTAAATTGACAAACCAACATGACTGCTTAAAACAAGAAGGTTGAATTTCAACCCAGATTTTCAAGTCAATGAATGTGGTGTGTGTGTTTGATAAGTGTTTTCCCATTGTGTTGATGCATAAGAATAAGATTATAATCAGGTTTGGTGGGATTACATATGTTGAAGGAGTCAAAAGAAAAGATGAATTCAACGAAGTTGAAAGATTTAGGTAAATGATGTTGGACCCATTTGGACTAGGAAATATAATTGAGAATCAAGGTTGGTGAAAAGCGGTGATGTCACACCAACCAATACCAATGCCAATACCAATACCAATACCCATCTAAATCTAAGTTCAACAAACAAATATTTTTTTTTCTTTTCCTAAATCTAAGTTTAACATAATTTTGTTCACACACCCAATAGGTTGATACCTGTACAACCCCTTAATTCGGCCTGACCATAGGTGGAGTTTAACATGATTTATGTTATAATAATTATTCCTACTAATCATAAATACAATGAAGGCTGAATTGAATTCAACGGATAAGAATAAGGTGTCAACAACATGGTATTCTTTTTTTTTATCTTAAATTTCAATTTTCAAAGCCTTACCCTACCCAACCCAATATATTTTTAGTAGATATCATTATGATTGCTCTTCCTGTTTTTCGTATAGACGCGCATGAATGAATTCTCTGTAAAAACTTGAAGTTGAAACTATGGTTAAAATTATATGATATTTGATTGGAAGAGAATGGAAAAGGAGTAGGTGGTCCTTGTGGAACAATAGGCCACCTGACTAAGTCATGAAATGTGTAGTTTCCTGACCTCATTCCCACATGGTGATGGCTTTCAATATCTTTGAAAAAGCCATAGCTTTAGCCCCACTTACTTAATGAATGTCCTAGGAGGAAGAAATCTCCACCATATAAATGAGATAAACTCAATCCACCTTTGCTCTCTCTATCACAATCTTTGAATATATATATTAATACATATCTCTTTGATGCCCATATCCATACCCATACCCATACCCATACCCATACAAGAACTAGTCTTTCTTTATATTAGAATTTAGAATTGAATGAGCTTGACACCCACAAATCATTGTGTGACCTTTAATAATGGTAGTTGAGCTTTCCATTTATGTGATTGTGATTACCTCATCTCCTTTATTATTCTAATTAATTCCCAATAAGGATTTTCCATATGGGTCCATGGTCGGTTCAATTATATTTTTCCATCCATTTCATTAATTAGACTAAATAATAAATAATAAATAATGAAAAATGTACTTTGGATTGGATACCCATACCCCACTTCAAGAGACATCTTCATCAACCACGACATGCTTAGTCTCTCCATCTCCTTCAACCCCACGCCCTCTTTCCATTTTTCTATTCTAATCAATGTGGTTTGAATGAAATCATTAAAAGTTGCAGACACAAAGTCCTTCCTTTTCTTAAAGCCCCTTCAGCCACGCTCTCATAACTCTACTATACTAATTATTCCATACCATCTAATTCATTCAAATATTATGAATCAACAAAACAAACGTGCAATTGATGAATTCATTTTCATTCTAACACAACAACTCATATTTCTACTTCTCCATTTCAAGTATGGTTTTTTTCTTTTCATAAACTCTGACAATTAAATATTCTAACTATTTGACTTCTTTCTGATTCTATCACCCACAAAATCCAGAAAGAAATCTCAAAAACATGGACACAAAATTCCATCACCACCACCACAATACTTGTGTATGTACAATAAATAATACCAAATTATCAACTCTTTAACAATAACTTTCAACTATGTTTTACCATCTGATGATCTCTTGATGGTGTTTTTTGATTTTGACTCTGAGAAAACGGATAGAACCTGGGTCTACTCACAGGAAATCCAGAAGCTTTAGACGTGGGGTCAGTGGCTGTGGAAGTGGAAGTGGTGGCGGTGGCGGTGGCGGTGGCGGTGCTAGTGTTGGTGGTGGCCACTCGCTCACAAGATGGACACATGGTGAGTGTGGTGGCTGGTAATTGCATGTAAAAGGGATTAGAAGTCTTCAAAGCTCTTAATTCTTGAAGCTCCTTATGAAGTCTTCTGTTTTCTTCAGTTAATGTTTCACAGCATCTCTTCAAATACTCACAATCCACCTCAGTTTGCTTCAATTTAGTCCTGCACAAATCAATCATTTTATTAAAATCAACCCAAACCATTTCTATTGCTAAATCAAAATTATTAATGAATACCTTGCTCTTCTATTCTGAAACCAAACTTCTACTTGGCGTGGACGAAGATTAAGTTGCTTTGCAAGGGCAAGCTTTTGTTTCTGCATCATCATCCAACAAATTAAATATATATATATCATCAAAACCTCATAAAAGATTATGAAAAGTTGAAACTTTACTTACAGGATTAAGAGTATTGTGTTCTTTAAAGCTTTCTTCGAGAAAAGCAGATTGCTCTTTAGAAAGCCTGAGTTTCTTTCTAGTGCAACCATTCTCGTCTTCATCACTAAATCTTGAAGAACCTCTCTCACCCTCCGTTTCATTACCATTACCATTACCAAAATCTTTCTTATGCCCTCCACTGTACATACAAAAATCCATCTGGAACGAAGATGCCGCGCTGTTGTTAGGTGAAGAAGATAAAGCACCACCGTCTTCTGCTTCTTCAACTAAAGGGAATTTGTTCACATCAAATCCTCTTGCCATTTGCCCTGAAGAACCCGCCTCAGAGCTTCCTAAAAGAAAAAAGAGAAAAGAAAAATTCCCAAAAGTGATTAAAAATAAAACACAAGAAGATTGGATATAGAGTGTTAGGTTGGTAGTTTTACCGTTATCAGATGACCAACGAAAGGCAAGAAGAGAAGGCGTATTACGAGGGACAGGTGTATTGGGAAGAAGATCAAGCTGAACAGGAGGATCTATGTTATTTTGAGAATCCAAGAGAGTTGAGGTGGGTGTAGTTGTATTAGCATGTTTATGTTTATGTTTATCTTCATCATCATCATCAGGATCATCATCCTGGCCATGAATATGATGTTTTGCAGTAGAAGAACCGATGGACAAGCCCATGCAAAACCCTAAACGTTTGTTAGCAAGGTGGGTGGTGGAGTTGTCGATGAAGGCAAGAGAGTTAGAAGCATCGCCTAAGCTCAAACCAAGCTCCATGTGAAGGAGAGGGAGAGGGAGAAGGAGAAGGAGAAGGAAAGAGAAAAAAGAAAGAGAAGTGGTGTTTGTGGATTGAATGCAGTAGTAGAAAAGAGTCTTTATAGAGATTCTAATATATATTTTTAAGTTTGACCGACAATCTCAGGTTGACAAACCCCACGTGAAACCCTCTCGTGCAACGCGCGTGACCATGTTCTCCTCTCCTCTGCTTTCCATGGTAATGGTATCTGAGACTGAGACTGAGACTGAGACTAATTAATTAAAACATTTTAATATAATACTCCATATAGAGTAGTTTGCATGCATGTGTCGCTACTTTTAATTATATTTGGATATTCATTTATGAATTAAACTTACATATAAATTGAATGATTTTTATAATTCAAATACAAAAACAAAACATACATATTGTGAAGTAGTAATAAATAGGAATACCTAACTCAATTGTAATTGATTGATATAGTGACAAACATAATGATTAATGGTATGGTATAAAAATAATGAACACAATAATAATGCGAATATATTGGTGATGATTGGGGAGCAAGCATCGAAGCTGTTGTTAGCTTGTGTAAGGTTTTTTCATATATATAAAATATTATATCCTTTTGGCACGTTAAGTTGACTTCTTCTTCTCTGTGTATATAAATTATTTATAACAATGTCACGCAACAATTATAATGGAGTTGTATTAATTCAACAGTAATTAGTGTTAATGATGGTTAATTTATATAGGATTGCTGACCCACCAGCCAACAGCATATATAATTAACCAATTCTCTTATTGAAAAAGTTTGAACAGCTTCCGTTGAATTGGAATTGGAATTGGAATTGAGAAAAAAGATGAGATTTGACCGACCATGGGCAGGCTCAGGCATATGTCAAATCCACCCCACCCGACCTTTTCCTTTACCCAAGATTTTACTTTTAGTTTTGGATGCTTCATAGATGTAATTAATTAGAATTAAGATGTGTGTCGGGAGGAGGCTCTTTGTTTAATTAAAGACCCAATAACCTAACCTATTCTATTGCCATTAGATTACAGGACGAAATGCTAAATACCCAGAACCAGAAGATCTTTCTGCGAATCTTGCTAAATATAAGTGCCTTCTTTTTACAATATTACCCCTCAGGGTATTCTAGTCATTTTCTAAAAGTAAAACGATGTTATTGTCAGGCTCAGGGCCAGGGCATGCGTTGCGTTGCGTTCATTAAATGACTATGAAAGCGAAGCCCCCACAGATAGTCACGTGAGGAGGTCGGGTGGGGAGAAAAGTCAAAATAAAAAAAAAAATGGTGAGGTGGACGAATGAGAGAAATAGAACAAGAGAGGTGAAGCTTGGGAAGGGGACAAGTCCCAACAGAAGCAATCATTAGTACCCATTTATTTTTATTTTTATTTTTATTTTTTAGAAAATAGAGGGGGGGGTCCACATGACACAGTAGTAAAATGCAATAATTATGGGAGTGATTGAATAAGAAATTGAAATTAGGTAATGTACTATTACCCTACTCAATCCTCATAATTGCAACCCTCCTTTTTCACACCCTTATCCCTTTACGTATATTTCTACAAAGTTAAAGTTAAAGTTTATGGCCATCAAAATTATATAATTCTGAAAACGAAAGCCTTCAAACATAAGCATCTCCCGTGTGTTCAATCATAGCCTTTGTCTCCCTTTTATCACCATCACCATCACTTTCATTATTATTATTATTATTATTATGCTATTAATCACATCATTATCACCATCATCATCATTCCAATTGGGACCCAATCACTCGAACAACTTGCTACACATTTATTTTATTCATTATTTATAAGCTTGTTCCCTCTTTCCTTCCCTTGTAGGCTGCCTTCCCATCAATACTCAACATTACCACCACCCCTATCCCCTTACTGCTCCATAACTATCTCCACTTCAACTATAATCATCTATTCTACAAACACTTCCTTTATCTTTTGCTTATATATTCTCTACAATCAAACCAAATCTACCCATTATTTTTTCCTCTATTCACAGTGAATTAAACATGTTGCACAATTGATGTTAACATCACCCCACATATATCCTGTCTTACCACAACTACAAAACTTCCTACAAACATCCTACACTTAGTGGTTTTCCAACTTTATAAATGGATTCAAGAACATCGATTCTGAAAAATAAAATAAAAAAGGCAACATCTAATATTTAAACCAAACAGCTCAAATGCAGCATCTGGACAAGGAATCTCTATTTCATCATCTCAACCTTCTCCTTCTACGCTCACGGGAAACTCCATTGTTCACATCTAATACTCTTTGACTTACAGTCCTCCCAGAAGATGAAGAAGGGACCATTGTTGAACTGACTTCTAAGGCAGCATCTGTTGTCTCACTTTCCAACTGGACCACATTACCAGGGGCATCAGCTCTTAAGGGTGAACCAGAAGGGGGTACTGCAGATTCAATTTCAGCAGCAGTATCCATAGATTGGCTTTCAAGCTGAACAACAGCGGCAATGCTAGAAAATGAATCTCTATCAACATGCGAAGATTCTTGCTGGCTTCTTCCAACGTGATTACCGTTAATATATGCTTCAAGGTCCTCAACTAGTCTTTCTGCAGAATCCATTGCAAGATTTAATGCAGATGAGAGGGAAGAAAATGAAGCAGCTCCTTGAGATAACAATCTCGAAACTTGAACTGAACGATGATACTCGTTTGCCTCTGTCTCCGTGCTGGACAATACCGGTGGAGTAGAATATTGAGGGCCCAACAAATTGGTTCTTTCACTGGTCATGTGCACACCATCAACGTCTGCAGACCTAGTTTGCTCCCCCAGTGCATCAATTACGTTGCTAACTTGTTGAATTCTTACCCCGATAGGAGAAGAAAATGCTCCCCGATTAATAAGCTGTTGCCTCTTACTCTCAATCCTGGGTGCTTGGGGCCTGGGAGGGATCTGCAAACACTCCCTAAACTTTGTCTTACGGGCATTATCATTGTCCCCATTACCATATATTGGAATAATACTTGAATCTTTCACATCTCCATTACATACAGGACATTCCTTCAAATATGAATAAATATATGGTACTTGATAGAAGCATAGCCAACAAAACAAGTGACCACAACAGGTCAATATAGGATCTCTTGCGCTATGCAAGCAAATATTACAGTCAAATAATGCCCCACGGTCACTTTCCACCTGCTTAGTATCTGTATCCACAGCCAATGCCTTTGCTATCAAATGGCTGGCATCTCTTTTGTCCATTATTCCATTCTCAACTATCCTTTCTGCAGAATCAATACCAACCTCCCCATGAACATTAGACACATTATTTTCCCGATATATGTTCACCATTTGAGGATTACTTTGACCGATCCTCCACCTCTGGCGTTGCCTAGCCCTGGAGGTGACCGCTTCAAGTTGTCTAATGCGTTCTTCGATGCGACCATGGGCTGTTTCCAGTTCATTCAGTAAAGATCCTAACCCCGACATTGAACCATTAGGAGGCTCCACAGGTTCTGAATTTAAATCAAGTTCCATTACTTCCCTCACATTATTCCCCATTGAAATTACACACACCAACCAGGATCAGGCACTTTCTCTCTTCGGCTAGGATTCCAAATTAAAATCAGAATAAAAACTTATTCATATATCCCAAATTGCATTCATACTGCCTCCTCTGACGAATAAACATATAAACTGTCTTCAATTCAGTAAGCTTGCCTACAAAAGCCGCTTATACATAAGGCAAACATATAAAATTTGAGTACATGTCTTCTTTCCTGATTGAAATGAAACATAAAATAACTAAACTCAATTGGATGGTTACAAGAAAAAGAATCTCAATCTTGGTAGTAGAAAATATACTAAGACCAAAAAATTTAAGAGTTCAATTTTTTTTTTTTTGCTTAATTTTTTTCATATTCATATCAAATGAACAAAGACCATTAGTCGATTATAATTCCAAAAACAAATATACCTACACTTAAGTGAGAAATAAAAACGGTATAGCTTAAGAGGAACTTTCACTATCTCGAATATTGAAAAAAAAAAAAAAAAACCTAATTTTACTTTCCCTCACACTTTCTCATCAATTAAACACAATCAACGTCGTTCTTGCTTAAAAAGGAATATAATTGTTGCTCTCTTGGCTTCTATAAGATTAAAAACGGAAAAAAAAAGGAAAAGAAATACACGTAAAAGGATTAGCGATAAAAGCCCAACAGAGAAATAATAATAGCAATAAAATTAAAAAAAAAAAATAAGAAGAAGAAGAAGAAGGAGAACCTGTGCGTAAGTGGCAATTTTTGGATCTACAGAGGTTGGGTTGGGTTGTGTTTTGCTAGGCGCCAACTGTTAAGCGGTTAATGAAGCGATAAGCATTAAGCCTCGTCTTTAAGTTTTGTTTAATACTTACTTGATCAACTAATTACCACGAGTAAACGACATATTCCCACCAAGGTTTGACGAAACTCTTAAGGTGACTGAAAAATGTTTGATGTAACGGTAAAGAGATAAATTGGTCCTTTTTCATAAACAACATACTTTAACAGATCGTCGCCTTTAACAATTAGGGGTGTACAAAACTGGATATCCTATTCGGTTTTATATTTTTCTGACCTGATTCGAAAATTCGGATTAGGATGAAACCTGATCCGAATTTTATCCAGATTTCATCTGATCCGATTTTGATCCGATCCGAATATTCGGATCAAATAAACCGAATATCCGGTTTTATCCGAATTTGTACGAAAAACATTAATTTATCCCCTAAAATTTTGCATTATTGTTATTACCCCGTACCCCATCATCATTTTATTACATTTTGACCACCAAAGTTGTCATCGTATTTCTAAATAGTCCACATACTTTACCACTTTTCACCTAAGACCCCAGAATAACTTCTTAAAACTTGTAGTTATGGACAAAATTGGATCGAATTCGGATATCCGGTTTCTTTGTGGAGCCGATCCGATATCCGATTCGAAATCCGGATATTCCAAAAATTGATATTTGAATCCAATTTGAATTTTCGGATATCCAGTTTTTTCGGATCGGATATGGACTGGATATCAGATTTTTTTGCACACCCCTACTAACAATCCTCCAACACACGTTAGCAGACAACGTCCCTGATATTTTTCGCCATTTTTCCGACGATTCTTCCACTCAAAATCGCACTTGTCATCACCATTTGAACCCATATCCTCTCCTTTACAAAACCTTACCCTTCATAACCCCTCATCACTCGTCGATCGCCGGCCACGGTAGCCGCGACATGCGACCTTCGACTAGTTTTTGTCGGTTTCCAGCCGTTTTGAACGGCAACAACCCCAACCACCACCACCATTTGACTCCTCACATCCTCCCCTACAAAATCCCTAACCTTCCCAGTCATGGCAACTCATCATTTGTCGTCCACCATTTCACCAAAAAACGACTGATAAACACGAACTCTCGCCCCGCGAACGACAGCTAAACAATTGCTGGGGACATAGGTTTTATAGAGTTGGAAATGCTGGTTGTAGTGGTGGTGTCCAATCGGATTTTCACCACCGGAATCGACTGGAATCCAACGAAGAATAGTGAAACCCTAAGCCTAACGGCGTCGGCGATTAGAGGGGCCAATGAGTGGGGAACCAGAGGGGTTTTGGACAAAAAACTACGGGGAAGGTGATGGAGGTGACCAAGGGGTTCAATGCCGTCAAAAACAGCCTAGATCGGGCAAAAATCTAGAAGGTGTGCAATGACCAAGGGCGTTATTGAGATAATTTAAAAATAAAATGGTAAGTATAATTCTACTAATTTAGGGGTTAAAATATAATTTAGGATTAAAGGCATTATGGTAATTACACCTATTATACCCTAAAAAGTGCTAACAATGTTATTTTAAGGATAGAAATCTGAAATAAATATAACTAGTGTACCAACTAGGATTTCGTGAAACCTTGGGTAAGAATATGTCGTTCACTCTAATTACCACTATTACTATTATATTTGATTGTTTAGTCCTTGATCAAACAACGTCGTATAGAGACGTTCCTAAGACTCTTCCGCTACTAATGAATTAAATAAATAATTAGGAAAATTAATCAGCAGATTAATGAAGATAAATTACAGTAAAATTTCTTATTTATTTCAAACAACATAAGTTGACATTCATGAATCAAATACAGCAAAAACAAATTACATAATCTGATACATAAATTTCCACTAATTATTAGTTAAGTAAGTAAACCAAGATTAAGACATCTTAAAATCCGCCAAAATCCATTCCACTCAAATCATCTGAAATCAAGCCTCCATCACCAAAACCACCACTTTGATCACCTCCAAACTCAATCAGACCACCACCACCGCCACTCCTCGACTGTCCCTGCATCAACAAGCCAAGCCCCGGAATGGTGGCATTTAACAGAAACTGCATAACCAGCCTGTCTGACACAGTTTTTTGCTGGGTTCTCACACCACCTGGGGCAGCATAAGCATTACTTGTATAGTAATTGGTTGGTGCACCGGTTTGCAAAGTAGGTGATTGTGCGTATTGAAATCCAGGAACCTGACCGTAAGTTTGAGGAGTTAGTGTTGTTGCTTGGCAATTATGCTGCACCTGAGAATACTGTTGAATCGGAGGAGGTGTTGGTTTTATTGTGGCGCAGGCCAAGTGAGCATCAAACTCACACAAGTTGCATCTGTAAAGCCACTCTTTAGAACCCATGTTATTGCATATATCACAAGAGAAGGCTTTGTTAGGATATGGAGGAGAGAATGTGAGGTTGAGATGGTGAAGATGAGAGTGGTGGGTTAATTGCAATGGCATAGTAGAACAATGGGTGTGGAGATGAATGTTACATATTGGGCAATGGTATGAAAATCCAGTGCCTTGCTTGCTACATGCATCACAGTTAAAGAAGTATTGCGGGTGAATGGGGTTTGGTAGAAGAGTGAGGGTGTGAGTTTGGTGAAAAGGGTGAGTGATATGTTGAGGAAAGTTTGAACATGGGATGTGAAGGAAGTAGTTGCAGATTGTGCAAGTGTAGATGAAGGCAGGAGAGAGCTTGAATTTGCAACCTGAACATGAGGGTGGATGCGATGGGGTTTGTTGGGGCAGGTAATTGGAGAGTTGTAGGGGATGTGGATGGCTGAAATGGTGAATTGATGCTGCAGGCTGAGGCTGGCTAGTTAGCTTACCCATCTCCTTTGGAGTTTCGCACTTGCTGTGTGTGCGTCTAATTCAATATGATCCTCTGGCTAATTATCCAAGTTATGCTACCCCAAACCTCCATTGATGAATTGACTTTGCTTTGGCAAGCTGATCATAAAGTCAACGAATGATTATAGATTAAAATGTCAATGAAAGCATTATTGTTAGCTGTGGGTCGGTGGATTTGTTATTGTGTGATTTGATTTCATAGCTGGCTAGAACCAATAGTTACTATAGTAGTTAATCAGTAGGCTTCAGTCGGAATTAAAGTAATCTGTTGGGTTGGGTTGGAGTCTCGGTTCCAGAATGAATGAGTCAATCGAATTTTGAGTCAACTAATGGAAGTCCCTAAATAAATCTTAATTTTGCTGCATGATGTAGCCAAGAAGAAGGAGAACCTGTGCGTAAGTGGCAATTTTTGGATCTACAGAGGTTGGGTTGGGTTGTGTTTTGCTAGGCGCCAACTGTTAAGCGGTAAATGAAGCGATAAGCATTAAGCCTCGTCTTAAGTTTTGTTCAATATTTTACTTGATCAACTAATCACCACGAGTAAAGGACATATTATGTCCTGCCCAAAGTTTGACGAAATCCTAACTTAGTATCCCTAGTTATATTTATTCTAGATTTTCACTCTTAAAGTGATGAAAAAGTGTTTGATGTAATGGTAAAAGGATAAATTAGTCATTTTGCATAAACGACGCACATTAGCAGATTTTTGCCTTTGACAGTCTTCCGATACACGTTAGTAGACAATGTCCCTGACGTTTTTCGCCATTTTTCTAACGATTCTTCCACCCAAAATCACCATTTGAATCCCCATCCTCTCCTCTACAAAACCTTGCCCTTCACAACCCCTCATCACTCGTCGATCGCTGGCCACGATAGCCGCGACATGCGACCATCAACTAGTTTTTGTCGGTTTCCAGCCGTTTTGAACGATAACAACCCCAACCACCGCTACCATTTGACTCCTCGCATCCTCCCCTACAAAACCCCTAACCTTCCCAGTCACGACAACTCATCATTTGTCGTCCACCACTTCACCAAAAAACGACCGATGAACACGAACTCTCGCCCCGCGAACCGCGGCTAAACAATTGCTGGGGACATAGGTTTTATAGAGTTGGAGATGCTAGTTGCAGTGGTGGTGTCTAATTGGATTTTCACCACCGGAATCGACTGGAATCCAACGAAGAATAACGAAACCCTAAGTCTAACGGCGTTGGCGATTAGTGGGGCCAATGAGTCAAAAACCAAAGGGGTTTTGGATGAAAAACTACAAGGAAGGTGATGGAGGTGACCAAGGGGTTCGATGCTGTCGAAAACAGCCCAGATTAGGCAAAAATCTAGAGGGTGTGCAATGACCGAGGACGTTATTGAGATAATTTAAAAATAAAATAGTAAGTTAATTAATTTAGGGGTTAAAATGTAATTTATTAATTTAGGGTTAAAGACATTATGGTAATTGCACCCATTATATCCTAAAAATTGCTAACAGTGTTATCTTAAGAGTGAAAATTTGAAATAAATATAATTAGGGTACCAATTACGATCTCGTCAAATCTTGAATAAGAATACGTCGTTTACTCTAATTACCACTATTACTATCATTGGATTGTTTATTCCTTGATCAAACGACGTCGTATAGAGACGTTCCTAGGACTTCCGCTACTAATGAATTAAATAAATAATTAGGAAAATTAATCAGCAGACTAATGAAGATAAATTACGGTAAAATTTCTTATTTATTTCAAGCAACATAAGTTGACATTCATGAATCAAATACAGCAAAACAAATTACATAATCTGATACATAAATTTCCACTAATTATTAGTTAAGTAAACCAAGATTAAGACATCTTAAAATCCGCCAAAATCCATTCCACTCAAATCACCTCAAATCAAGCCTTCATCACCAAAACCACCACTTTGATCACCTCCAAACTCAATCAGACCACCACCACCGCCACTCCTCGACTGTCCCTGCATCAACAAGCCAAGCCCCGGAATGGTGGCATTTAACAGAAACTGCATAACCAGCCTGTCTGACACAGTTTTTTGCTGGGTTCTCACACCACCTGGGGCAGCATAAGCATTACTTGTATAGTAATTGGTTGGTGCACCGGTTTGCAAAGTAGGTGCTTGTGCGTATTGAAATCCAGGAACCTGACCGTAAGTTTGAGGAGTTAGTGTTGTTGCTTGGCAATTATGCTGCACCTGAGAATACTGTTGAATCGGAGGAGGTGTTGGTTTTATTGTGGCGCAGGCCAAGTGAGCATCAAACTCACACAAGTTGCATCTGTAAAGCCACTCTTTAGAACCCATGTTATTGCATATATCACAAGAGAAGGCTTTGTTAGGATATGGAGGAGAGAATGTGAGGTTGAGATGGTGAAGATGAGAGTGGTGGGTTAATTGCAATGGCATAGTAGAACAATGGGTGTGGAGATGAATGTTACATATTGGGCAATGGTATGAAAATCCAGTGCCTTGCTTGCTACATGCATCACAGTTAAAGAAGTATTGCGGGTGAATGGGGTTTGGTAGAAGAGTGAGGGTGTGAGTTTGGTGAAAAGGGTGAGTGATATGTTGAGGAAAGTTTGAACATGGGATGTGAAGGAAGTAGTTGCAGATTGTGCAAGTGTAGATGAAGGCAGGAGAGAGCTTGAATTTGCAACCTGAACATGAGGGTGGATGCGATGGGGTTTGTTGGGGCAGGTAATTGGAGAGTTGTAGGGGATGTGGATGGCTGAAATGGTGAATTGATGCTGCAGGCTGAGGCTGGCTAGTTAGCTTACCCATCTCCTTAGAAGTTTCGCACTTGCTGTATGTGCGTCTAATTCAATATGATCCTCTGGCTAATTATCCAAGTTATGCTACCCCAAACCTCCATTGATGAATTGACTTTGCTTTGGCAAGTTGATCATAAAGTCAACGAATGATTATAGATTAAAATGTCAATGCAAACATTATTGTTAGCTGTGGGTCGGTGGATTTGTTATTGTGTGATTTAATTTCATAGCTGGCTAGAACCAATAGTTTCTATAGTAGTTAATCTGTAGGCTTCAGTCGGAATTAAAGTAATCTGTTGGGTTGGGTTGGAGTCTCGGTTCCAGAATGACCGAGTCAATCGAATTTTGAGTCAACTAATGGAAGTCCTTAAATAAATCTTAATTTTGCTGCATGATGTAGCCACCAGAGTTGCAAATGATTTTGAGTTTGTGTTTTTGATCCTGAAAGATTAGGAGGATGCCATGAAATCATATAGGAGCTTAACGTTTATAAGATTAATGATTAAATTCGAGGATAAAGAAAATATTTGATAAAGAAAGTAAGAAGCTGGATAGAATAAAGAAAAGAAAAAAAGAATGAGGATTTGGTTATATAAAAGAGAGAAAGAATTTGGATAGGAAACAAAGTAAAAGAGAAAAAGTAGATTACTCATTAAACTTGAAAGTGGTACAACTCAGAATGTGAGATAATGGAGCATAGCATAAGAAAGGTAGTTAATTACTGTTTATAAATTGCTTCACCAAAACTCAGCTCTAATTTACTGTTTGAAGCTTTAAAGCTCCATTATACTAGAATATGTATATATATATATATATAGCTGCATGGATGATTTTACAAGTAAACAAAGAGATATGGCAACAACATTCATCTGCCAAAAGCCCTCATTCAGACAAACTGTGAAACATTTCAGCCATCAACATCCCCTGCGTCCATTTGAACCCAATGACCAAGATGAAATTATTTGTTCTGGTTGTGAGCTTGATATTTCATCTCCACCAGCTTACAAATGCACTAACTCCAACTGTGATTACTTCCTTCATAAGTCATGCTTTAAACTCCCACGTGACCTTCAACACAAATTCCACCCTGCTCACCCTCTCATCCTCCTTTCTTCTCCAGCTTATACCGGGGGGAGATTCATTTGCAGCGCTTGTGATGATTATGGCACTGCTTTTAACTATCACTGCTCCACTTGTAAGTATGATCTTCATGTTGCTTGTTCTAAGTTGCCTCAAACTCTGAATGTTGAACATCATGACCACCCACTCACTCTCTTCAGCTCCTCTTCTTGCGATAGAGACATCGAAACATTTATTTGTGTTATCTGTAATCGCACTGTTCGGAAGAGCCGTTGGGTGTACTACTGCCCGGATTGTGATTATGGTATGGATATATGTTGTGCAAATTCTTCAAAAGAAGAATCAACTTATTCATCGTCATCAGCCAACAGATGTACTAAGTCCAATTGTGGGCCTTTATACAAGTCATGCTTGAAATTGCCATGGAAGCTTCAACACGAAATGCACCCTGATCATCCTCTTGCCCTATTCCCAACTCCAGCTTATGCCAGTGGCGGATTCAGATGCAATGCTTGTGATGAAACTGGGACTCGTTTTAACTATCACTGTTCCGATTGCAAATACGATCTTCATATTGCTTGTTCCAAGCTGCCTCAAACTATGAAGCTTGAAGATCATGAGCACCCGCTTGAGCTCTTCAATTCCTCTATATTTGATGATTTAATTTGTGATATCTGCGATCAAATTATTCCCAAGAATCGTTGGGTCTATAACTGTTGTGATGGAGATTGTGATTATGGTGTAGAAGTACGATGTGTAACTGCAGTAGATGATACAAAAGAGAGAGAAGAAGAATCAAGAGAAAAACCCAACTGCACGCAGGAATCAATTATCAAGTATTCCTTATCACAAGTTGAAAACCAATTACGAATGCTTCAGGTTCAGAACGAAACCAAATTCCAAACTGAAACAAAAATAATCAGTGAAATGAGGAGGAATATGGCCAAGTTAATCAATTAAGTCTGGTTTTTATAAACTATTGTTATGGATGGTGTTTGCTTTGTATTTCTGTTGTCTTGTAATTTGTTTGGGTTATCTAAGTTTACTACTTAATAAAGAGCTATTTTGTCATTTTATTAATTCATATCAGTATCTATACATGTGGTTTAAGTTTTGGTGTCTATATTACTGTACTAGACCATTTTGTGATTATCATGTTGTATAACATCAGTAGCTGATGAAGAAGAAGCTTATGGATCCAACTGTGATTGCTTCTTGTACAAGAATCAAGAGATAAGACCAAGTGTACACAAAGCAACTTGAAAATATCAGCTATATATATATATATATACATACAAAGATAGACTAGACTGACAGATATACATATATATATATATATATTTTACAGGAATCATACTGCTACGGCAATGAGTTACTACTCTTTGTTTCTGGAGGACTTGTCCTTCCTCTGGCCACCAAGAATACGGGAAATCTGTAAACCTCTGCTGAATGCTTGGTTGAATAGCATTCGTGTTTGGAATTCTGAAACAAACGGGAACCAAGCCAAGAATGCAACCGGGGTGAATAGAAGTAACCCTATTACTATTTCATAAGCACGTGCAAGTGTCCGAACTGATCCCCATATTCCAGCCCTTCTAATCAGTGGCTTACAAGCTTGTGCAATCTATATATATCAGAAAACAAATCACCTCTTATAATTGTACTAATAACACACCAGTAGATTAATTTCTAAAACAAATGAAAAGAAAGATTCACTCACCAGTAGTAATCCCCATCCAGTTGGCATAAATGCAAGTATACATACTATGATATCTTTGAAGGTCATATGAGGGAGTGCCACCAAAATAATGAAAACAGTAACAAATGACAGGAATACAAGCGCCTTAATCATTCTGAAAAAAAGCTGGAAATTTGCACTAAATCGCCGTCTTCCAACCGTCATAGCCTGTAAAATTAATTTTTAAAGCTCATGACATGCTACATCTACTTCTCAAACAAAGACTAAAACCGCCGCTACTAGGAACCATTCGAAAATCTATAGATGCTCTTATCAGTTAATAATCAAATCTTAATAAAATGACACTTAACAATAATAATAATTGATAGGAGTCAAGGTTAGTTTCTCACCTTCATAACTAACAATATTGCAATGATGATAAGCCATGAGATGCCATAAACCTGTAAGCACCATGAAAAATTTAACAATCATGTTTCAAATGCTTTTCTAAGAGTCTGGAAAGAAAAATTGTATTAAAGATAATACCAGAAAGCTTTGATTTTTCCTGGTGAAGCTCAAATGATAAACAAGTCCATATTGATAGATGAAGAAACGCAATGCTAACAATATCTCAACTAAGATACCACGTATCCCAGAGTGAAGTAGATGCTCTTGTTCCTTTTCCCACCAGGATTCCCAACTCTTTTCTGGAGGTACCCCGATCCCTCCACGATTGCTTATCCACTTATTCCAATCTGTCCAATCATCAATGATCTTTTGCCACTCAAAGCCAGATGGGTTGAAGAGGAAAGGAGCAAACAACCATGTACCCACCATGAACCAGATTGATATAGTGATCAACACATGTGCGACTACACCTCTATATGAAACTCCGAGTAAATGGTATACAAGAAGTAGAATCATCAGTTCTATTCCCTTGACAAAGTGGCTACGGGAATAAAGCCGATAATTATCAGCAAACTTGGCATGGAACACAACAAAACCACGGCCAGTACCTCTGTATTGTGCACCTCCATGAAGCAATGTCCTCCCATAATAGTGGGTTTTTGTCCCAAGAGAAAATGTGAAAAAAACAGAAGCCAATTGTAATTGCATCAATATGAAATCAGTTAATGCCTTACGAAAGCCCCTTTCCAAGCCAATTTCCATCATCATAGGTAAGGCCATTAAAAATCCAATTTGCACAACAGACTGAGAAGCAAGAGCCACTTGAAGAGGCTTATTGTCTTTAATTGCTGGCTCGTTACTCAATTCTTTTTCCAGTCCACTTAGTGAAAGATAGAGGCGCCCATACAGAAACACATAGACTGTGATCACAGTCAACTGTCAAATAAGAAACATAAAGAGTGTCAGAAAAATATAAAGACTATATAATATACACAGTAAACAGGGAACAATCAGAATATACCAAAGTGCTGAAATAGAAGCCAACTGTAGTATAATAACAAGACAACATTCGAAAGAAATCAAATCGATGGCCAAGCCTGTATATGTCACGGCTCAATGTCTGTTCACCATTCCCATTAGCTATCTTTGCCTCAAACATAGATATCTGGTTAAGACCAACATCTCTCCCTTTACCAACTTGTATATATTCATGATGCGTGACATTCCCTTCACGTAGTGTTGAATTGAATCCTGCAAACCGCAGATATGTTGAAGCCAGAACCACATTTTATCATTGCGAAATCTAAAAATATCAAAATACCTGCAAATATGTCCTCGCTTAAATTGATAACTTTGGAAGCTTTGCTAACTCCTCCTCTGGTCAGGTGAAACAATCTATCAAATATATCTGGATGACCATAATGGAATCGAACTCTGAATCAACACCAAAAAATAACTGACTTAGCATATTACTCATTGGTGTAAATAACAAGACACAAGATTGTGACTGAAAATGATGTAAATTTGATGCTAGCATTATGCTTTCCTGATAAAAATAGAAAACCATATTGATACTGCCAATGCCTCATAGTTTGTAAATACTGAGACAGAAATGCAGTTTAGAGATTCTACCACATGTTTACAGCAAGATATCTTTCTATTAAATGGTTAATGTAATTGCTTATGATTACCCCAAATTAAAAGGAAAAAAAAAAAAAAAAAAGTAGACACTTACTTCAAAGGGTGAGCCAACAATCTCTGACCAATAGTAACAAAACTAGTCTCTTGATTTGACATAAACCATGCCAGAGATGAAACACTGTGTAAATTGGCAAATAATTATTGATGAGTAGGATATATCCACTCCGAAGAACTTGTAAAAGTGAAACCACAATCCAGATTCTGATTAACAACTGAAGTACCTGCCAGTAAATATATGCTCCCGAAGTCCAAGTATTGTTGGATATCTCACACCATCGTGCTTTTTAAGAAATTCTTGAAGCAAGTTTCTCATTTTGAAAGCTTCTTCCATATAGTTATCCTATTATTGATATTTAAAATTATGAGTTTTGATAAGAGACTCACATAAATTCTAAGCAGTTAAAGTTTATAGAATACCTGGTTCATATCTATTGTTTGCAGGCCTTCTCCACGTGTAAAAATAATGGCATGGTTTTGATTTTCTGGTTTCCCCTCACCCATCATTGCAGGTCCTGGAAGCTTTATCCGATAAATAATCTGCACAATAACATCCAAACAAACAAACAGTTGGAAAGGTCATTCTTAGTTTCTTGATTAACCCAATTCATTATCCATAATGCTTTTAAGATTTGTACTTGGTCTAAAGTTTGAACTGGCTCAGAAGAATCTATAGACTTTGTTGGTGCTGCAGCTTTCACAAGAGCCGAATAATAGACCTTCTCAACCGTCTTCTTGTATTTATCTTTACTAGTTTCTTCAACCTCGTCAATATAAGCAACACGAAGAGATGGGTACCTGCAAAGGGAAGTATGGAATGCAACCAGCAACTTCTCATAGAAACAGTCACAGACCAAAAGAATTATTTTGGAAGACTTACGTAGTCATAAGCTTCAGAATATCTTTGGCCCGTTCATTACCAGATCTTTTGTCAATGCCATACTGCTGGCATGACACCACATATGTGAACTTCATATCAGCTACTGCTTGACATTGCGCCCATAGTGATCCTTCACTCTTTGATTGTTCCTCGCTTTTCAATTCAGCAGCCTTGTAGCCTTTCATTAAAACTGAATTCCAGTAATCAACAGGATTTGTTTTTCCACGACCAATAGCCAACAGTTAGAACAACAATATATGTCATACTATCCAGGAAACGTGGTAATTAATAGTCTAACATTAAGTTTTTTTGATACCTTCGTCCTTCGCCATATCAAGGAAAGCTTGAAGTTCCAAAGCTTTTCGGTAATACATCATGCCTCGTACTTATACATTGAGAAAAAGGAAGGAGAGCAGAGAAAATGGCATCATATAAAGGCAAAGTGTTCTATAAATTTTACATCAGTCCTTCTATAGATAGAGAGAGGGAAGAGACATACCAGTTTTGGTCAATGTTTGGCCTCTGTATGATGCCCATAGACGAAGTTTTTCTTCCAGCTCTTCATTTGCCTTAAGTTCTTCTTCACTACTGCATTTAACCCTTTCCAGAAAGTTCATCCATTCATCTACAATTAAGTTGTAGATTCCAAAATTAGCATATCAGCTAATAATTATGGTCCAAGAGGACAGCCAATACAAAGAAAAGAGAACCTGGAAAAATCTTTTGCAAGTAAAAAAGGATTGAAACTCCATCTTCATTAGGCTTTTCCAGGCTTTTTATGGAGAACAGTACATCCTCTGTGTAGTAAGGAGTTAGGACACTACATAAAACGTAAAAAAGATAAAACAAAAGAAAGATCAGAATTAATAATTTCTCATCTAAGACATGCAAGTATGATCTAAGGTAACAAAGATATCAACTATCATAGTTTTAGCGCTTCAGGTTCAAATTCATGGTTACAGAGTGTAACACAGTAAGTAATCTAAATAATGGGAAACAGACAAAATTGAAACCAGAATTTGAATAATTAGCTAAAATAAAGAATAATTTTAACTTCAATCCCAGAAGACCAAAGCTTCTTTTAAGTGTTGCTGCAATTTATGCAGCATTCATGCATGAATGGAAAGTTCACCAAACAAAACACAAAATCAATAGAGCTTACGAGAAGGAAAGCATATTTCGAACTTTGGGTGCATCAGGCATGTCCATGAACAATGAATTAGAGAAAAAGGAAATGCGCCTTCTAGCTTCCAAATTAGATGGAACATCCATAGCAGACTCCTTCACAGTAAGCAGTAGATGAAGCCTTCTGATCTGTTGGTAATAACAGTTTTACATATGAAAAAACACCCCATATTAACACTCAATATT